ATTCAAAAATAAAAACATCATCGCTTTCTAAAAATCACGTAAAGCCATATTATAACATCGACCGAGATAAAAAATAAAATAAAATATTAAAATTATGATGTATCTCGCTGCATTGCAGGATTACGCTTCTAATTTATTATTAAATCTTAAGAAAAATGTAGGGGCAGATCAAACGTATCTCTATATATTTGTACCTACTAATTTTCATCTTGATTTCTTTTTACATCTATAATTCTAAAAAAACAATCCGTACAACATCACCCCAACATATAATGCTTTTTTTACTTTTTGTTATTTTATTTATTATTATTATTATTTTAAAACACAAAACATGGGATGTATGGTGGTGTGTGAATGTTACTTGGTTAGGGTTTGAATGTTCAAAAGCATTTCCCAGTCACGTGAGTCGCACTTGCTCAGACTATCAACGGTCATGATTAAGGGAATTTCATCCAACAGCGGAGATGAACGCGTCAGCTGAAAGCTAACATCAGACACCATTTTTCGTTGAATATTTATTTGTGTCTCTACTCTCGATTTAGGGTCTCCTTCTCAACCCAAAATCACAGCCTCTTACTATATTAAAACACACACTTCCCTCTCAACTCACCCTTCATCTCCTTTTTCTCTGATATCACTCGCCTTTCAAAATGGTATGTCTTCTTCTTTATTCATAGATCTGCAACTTTCCCTTGTTATAATCCATCTATTTCTTATTGCTTTGTGTTTTCTTGATGAGAACTGGTGAATTTGTATCGGGTTGATTTAAAAACAGTATGATTATGTTTTGATTTTGTGTTTTAGGCTTTGCCGAATCAGCAAACTGTTGATTACCCGAGTTTCAAGCTTGTAATTGTCGGCGATGGTGGAACTGGTAAAAGTTTTTTATTAGTTTTAACTTTTATTTGTGATTGCTACTTGTTGTCTCAAAGTTAATGTCATAATAATTTGAATTGGAAGATGATTAATTCGTGATTTTGATCTTGTGGAAGAAAAAAGTTACGGGATCGTAATATGGTATTTACTTCCTGTTGAGGGTTAGGGTTTATGTGGTCTTTTGCTCTTGCTGAGTGAATTACTGTGATTATATTCTATACACATTTTATATATGAATATGATGACATAAGAAGATTGATCGAATTTAGAACAATCGTATTCGGGTGTTCATTAGATACAACTATCTTTACAAAAATTCGAAATAGACCATAGCATTTTAGAAGAATGAAAAATTCTACATAGTTGCTTATTGGTCCAAAATACAGTTTTTTTTTATATTATCTTTTGATTGGTGGTTAATTTGTTGTAATTTGGAGCCATCTACTATGACTTAACACAAAAATCTATGGTTTTTGATATGAAATTACCAGATGCTAGATATTTGTTAAAATAGTTTGAAAATGTTATGGAAATCAGTTTGAATGTCAACTGGAGTCACTATTAGTGTATTGAAGATGAACTCTTTAGTAGTAGGAAGTAGGAACTGTTGCTTATTAGTGTGTGCTTATGTGTGTCATTTTACTTGTCAATCTAATCAAGGGTTTAGGGTGGTAGCTTAAATATATTCAATGAACTGGATTTCATAGGTTTCTTGGTTTATCTTACCTTGTGACAGATGACCTAAAATCTTTTTTTTTGATGTTTGAGTTGTTTAGGGAAAACTACTTTTGTGAAGAGACATTTGACCGGAGAATTCGAGAAGAAATATGAACGTAAGGAATCATAGAAGTTCTCTTATCTTTTCAGTTTGTGTCTTATTTACCCAAGATTTTGTTTTCTTAGATTTGGATAAATAATGATGTTCTGTTTGTTGGTGTTTAGCAACCATTGGTGTTGAAGTTCACCCCTTGGATTTCTTTACTAACTGTGGAAAGATTCGATTTTACTGCTGGGATACCGCCGGTCAGGAGAAATTTGGTGGTCTTCGTGATGGATATTAGTAAGTCATTTTCATTGCTTATGATTCAAGTACCTTCGATGTTATCGATTAATGTCCCTCTTATGTATTGCCAGTTCAAAAACAAATTCTTGTTTAGTGGCCTCTTTTTGTGATCTAATAATGTGAGCAATGCTTTGGAAGGAATTTTTTGTATTATGTTCAATAGATGATTTTTCAAGTAGTAGAAAGTAGGAAAGATGCCTTGAACCTTGCATCAAGTGGTACATAGTTTAATGAAGTGTTGGATTGTTTGTTAGATGTCTAAAATACCCTTTAATCAAACTTGCATCACTTGGTTATGTAGAAAGCTTTTATGAAGTGTTAGATTGTTTGTCAAATGTCTATAATACCCTTTAATAAAGGCAATCTGTATCCATCTTACATAATGATGGCAGTGAGCAGATAGATAGATTGTTTGTCAAATGTCTATAATACCCTTTAATAAAGGCAATCTGTATCCATCTTACATAATGATGGCAGTGAGCAGATAGATAGATTGTTTGTCAAATGTCTAAAATGTCCTTTAATAATAGACAATCTGTATCCATCCTAGGTAATGATGTTGAAAACTTCAATGAAATGGAAGGATATGAGATTTTTGTGCTCTTTACAGTTTGCAGAGTTAAAAGAATTCGATATTGTTGATAATGTTATTTGTGTATATTATTTCAATCACATATTCTACGGAGTATATACTAACCAAATATTGGAATCTGAATCATCTACAGCATTCACGGGCAATGTGCCATCATCATGTTTGATGTAACCGCAAGGTTGACCTACAAGAATGTTCCCACATGGCATCGTGATCTCTGCCGGTATAACTTTACCCTCATCTTGTTATTGTTGTATGTCAATATTATATCATTTAATCTTGACGTATTTTATGATCATAGTGTTTGTGAGAACATCCCGATCGTACTTTGTGGAAACAAGGTTGATGTGAAGAACCGTCAAGTGAAGGCAAAGCAGGTTACTTTCCACAGAAAGAAGAACTTGCAGTATTACGAAATCTCAGCCAAGAGTAATTACAACTTTGAGAAGCCATTCCTTTATCTTGCCAGAAAGCTTGCTGGGTAACAATCATCAACTTTATTCGAGTAAGAAAAAGGGTTTCAAGAATTAACATGTTAAATTTGTTGTTGTTTTAGGGATCCCAACTTGCATTTTGTTGAGTCTCCTGCTCTTGCTCCCCCAGAAGTGCAAATCGACATGGCTGCTCAACAACAGTAAGCCAATATATTGTGGTTTTTGAGCTTTTTTTTTTATAAAAAAGGATGTGTAAACGATGGTGTTTTTTTGTAGGCATGAGGCCGAGCTTGCTGCTGCCGCTAGCCAGCCGCTTCCAGATGACGACGATGATGATGCTTTTGAATAGAAAATGAGGAATTTGAGAAGGGTTTTGGTTGGTGTTTTTGATTATGAATGATGATGTCTGAATGATTTAAAAAGCTTTTGGTAGGGAGATGAGATTGTTTGTGGGATATATATCATCATCACATGATAATTGTGTTGTGAAGCAATATGCATTTGGGTTGGGTGTTGAGTTTTAACAGCTCCCAATTTCTTCATTGTCTTTTTGTTGTTTGTTGGTCCTTTCTGAGGGTTCCATTTGTTGATCTATCTATTACTATTCACTACCGTATTTTAAAGATATGAATATTATGTTCCTACTTTACTTGGTATATTTTAAAACCCCAATAGAAATGGATTTACAATAAGAGGTGTGGATGAAAATAGATTGTTCTTCAGCAGCTTTCTTAAAATTGAGATTTTGGTTCTCTTTTTCTCTAAAATAGAGAAAGTAGGGAAGAATTTGAGAGATTTGTTTGTAGGATTACAATAAATTTTTACATGATGAATTTCTTCTCTTCTCCAAGCTTGGTGGTTGAGGTTTAGTGAAATCTCTGAAAAAGATAATTAATCCTTACAGATCATATTTATATTATAGTTGTTACTATTTAACTTAATTTCAATTGTAATTTCATATTTAAGGTTTCCTGTCTTTTTAAATGTCTTACTTTTAGTTTTTAGTATATAATCTAGTTTAAATTGTTTAATATCGTTACTAATTGATATATATATATATATATGTGTGTGTGTGTGTGAGAGAGAGAGAGAGAGAGATTGGATTCTAGTTGAAGAGTTCCACTAGATCTAATGAGAACGATCAAATCAATTCTCTTCTAAAACGTAATTCATGGGTTAGTTTGAGATTAAAAGTGAGAAAGAGTTTAAATCATTTTTTACACTTCTCACCCTAACGTCTATCCTTACACAATCTTTTGTCTATATATATATATATATATATATATATATGTATATAGTTATATGTTCATTTGAGAAGTGATAAGTATTTGATGAGTAAATAAGTGATCCTAACATTTTATCTAGTCAAAATCCGCGGCTTTGACTGTGGAGCACAAGATAATTCCTAGCATGGTATGTTAAAGATAGAGGTGTAGTTTCATAATTTTTACAAACAGACAGCAAAACAAGTGTATATGTGAACCAGTGTGATTCACATATGAACTATATGTTAATATGTGAACCCGTGTAATTCACACATGATTATTTAACTGATTCACATACGAGTCTGTGTGATTCACATATGAATTAATTAACTGATTCATATATGAACCTGTATGATTCACATATGAACTAATTAACTTATTCGCATATTAACTTTGGGTTAACATATGCATTTGTTTACCACATATTTGTAAAAGTTACGAAACGTTCCCACAATTTTAAATATTTGATCAATCAAAACCACAAATCTTGACCAGTGAAAGCACAATTTTTGACCAATCTTGATCTTAAAGACTATCACTTCTTACTTCTCAAATGAACCTCTCCCTATATATATAAATTATATATATCATATGCATATTTGTTGTCAAAAGTCACACATCAAAAAACGCCATGCCCTCTCGTCGTGGCTTCTGAAACTTGATTACACCGCTACACACGCTTGATGTCGTTTTAGAACCTTAATTATTTCGTATTTATCTAATCACTTTATATGTATGTTTTGGAATGATGGACACCGACCTAAAGTCGTTTGGACTTTAAGACTCGGAAATAAAACATTATTTAAGCTTCTTTGGCATTTGCGCAAGCAACATTTATACTATCAAAGGATAAAGTAACGTTACTACGTTCAAAGATAGACCACCCCAATTTATGTTTTCTTAGCAAATAAAAACAAAATTACAAAAAAAATTATGACTTTTTATTGGGTCTTCAAAACCAACAAATATTTACAGCTTAACCACAAGGATTATTGCGTTGTGGTTGAGGTCTTAGGAGATTGATGGAATATCCCGTTTGTCTAGAGTTCGATTTCAAACGTACACAACAATTGTGGCCATTAAGTTTATCATGGATTATTTCTTGCAGTCACAATTTGCCAGGATTAATCTAGACATAGGCTGGGACACCTTTCCTAAAAAAATATAGCTTCTTGTAAAATTCATTATTTTTGTTATAGCATTAGCATCTTATGTTTTCTCTTGTAGTCTCACTCTCAAAAATAAAAAATAAATATATATATATATATATATATATATAAAGAGAGAGAGAGAGAGAGAGAGAGAAGGGGGGGGGGGAGAGATGGAGGGTTTAAACGAGAACAATAACTAAAAAAAAGAACATGAAACGGTCAATTTACATACAAAATTACATGTGATTCGATCGTTTTCTTATTTTCTTATTTTGTTATTGTTCTAGCATGAACTCGTCTTCCCTCACTTTCTCTCTCTCTCCAAAGTAATCTACAGCTGGTAATTTTGGCTCCATGTTATGTCTATATCAAGAAATATGTACTAGGGAAGATGCATGGAGGTATTAACAATATGGTTTATTTGAGCATCTTTAATGGAGTGTTTGTAAAAGAATAACATTTTTGTACATTTTCTTTTGACGTTATTATCAATTTAACAAATGAAGAATCTCCATAAAACTCATGGGGCGTTTGGTTCACATTGAAGTTTAGTGGAATTATAATGCATTACAAGAATTTGACTTTGAATGAATTAGAATGGACTTTGACCACGTGTTTGATTGACATGAATTAGAATTGATCTATTAAAAGAATTTGGAATATGCATGTTTGGTTGGGCGAAATAATAATAGATGACCAAAACCCCTATATTACATTTTTTTTTGCTTGAATTTTAAATACAATATAGTGATGATATTAATTGGTGGTGGAAGGGGGTGATTGTGAAGATGACGGTAGTGGCGAGTGAGTGACGGCAAAAGTAGCGTGATGGTGGTGGGTGAGTGGGTAAGTGGTTGGTGGATGTGACGACTAGGTTAGTAGAATGTGAGATGGATGGGTGAGTGGCGGTTTTGTGAGGACGGTTGGTTGAGGTGGTGATGGAATGATAATATTAATTGGCTCTGGTGACAGTGACAACGATGTTGACAACAAGAGTGCAAAACTTATTTTTGCATTTTTAAAATCAAGCTATAAAATATGTTACATTTGCCTATGAATGAAATTATGTTATTTCACTTATACAAAAGAATTATTAGATCCTTCAACTGTGGAATTCGATGAAATCCAATTAATTCAATCCACGAACCAAACATCATTAAGGAATCTGATCAAAAGAATTCGTTATTTTAATTCCATCAAATTCTTCCGGATTATTCATAACAAACTGACTCTTAACTATGGTATTGACTTACACAAACCAGCCTAACACCACACTGTCTTGTGTTGCATGTCTGGATACTAAACGCACCCGTAAACTATAAAGTTTCAAACCCAATATTTATATGTTGCACGATAGTATAATCCTAAATCTCATACTCATTTTACAAGGACGCTCATCTCCTAGCCGTTAGACTAAGTCGTGAGGTGTGTCATGTATGTTGATGACGTTATAAATAAAAAACGAAGTAAGGAAAAAAAATAGATTATGCTCGTTATAGGCAAACCAAATCAATAATGTCGATTTTTGTGATCGGAGAGTTATGGTGCTGTAGTTACAAAAGATGAACACTTTGTCTTTAACATGTATAATGTGGGACTTCTATCCAATGTTGTTAACTACGACACTTTTGAGGTTATGGACTTATGATTAATACTTTTGAATTTTGAAATATATGCCCATGTATGCAAATATTGTTCAAAATTCATAAACTTTTGAATTTTGATCTCCTCCACTGGTTACTTCATAACTAGATTTCATAAAAAATGCCTGATTCATCGTAATCGATTGGATTAATCTCTTAATCAGTCTGATTTTTTCACGACGGTAGCAAAGGTAATAATAACTAAGGGACAATTTTTTCGAAATACTTGATTAGTTTAAATTTTATGTAGGAAACTAAGGTTACTCGACAATCACTACATTCATATATTTTTCTGATGTCATTGTGAAATTGGGAGAATAAAAGCAATTGTAGGTGTGGAAAAAACAAAACCATCAAATCTATTTACATATTTCAATAGTGATAAAATGGTAAATAAGAATAACGATAAAGTTGTAAATAACGGAAATGACAAGTTTACATACAAAAAAAATAGTAGTCAAATAACACATAAAAAACAAAAACCAAACTCATCTCGTTGAAAAATCGGAGGCTTTTTGAATATGATATTGAACGTGTAACTGGATGTGTTTTACATCCAGTTTTACCTCAACAAACACGATGCTTCAGCAACGACTTAACTTATTTGATCTTAACCCAAACACATATAGATAGATACATGCGTGCATGTATTTATTGATTCACGTGTCTCGTATTGTTTTGCCAAGTGTTTTTCATTTTCCATATGTTTTTTTCAATTACTTTCCCCCACTTTTCATAACAACATTAAAAACCGCAAGAAAATAATAAAAACGTTACCATACTTCTACACTTTTTTAAATACATATTTAAACAAACATATAACTACTAATATACCTATATTTTTACAATCACATCCATTTATTATTTTTATTTAGTTTAGTTAAGTTAACTATCATACGAGTAGCAAGCCCTGTTAGCATCAACCGAAGTGAGCCAAAAAATACCTTTATATTGGTGTTAGATTAATGTTATCGATAATCAACTTTTTCTCTAAATTGTTATCTCAGATGTGTCAATTGAGCAAATGAGCTCTAACCCGAGTAGTATGGGACATGTGGAATCTCGTGTGATTTAGCAAGGACCATTTTGTAAGGCTAAATACTTCTGGATGAACATTGTGGTTGATGTTGGATAAATTATGAAATAGAACATTGGGCCAGTTTGGTGTCTCACTTTACCAATTCAACCCAGGGGTAGCCAGGTAATTTCACAACAAAGAGAAGGAGCTAGGTTCCGCTGCCTTTTAAGTTTTAGGTTTTCACTCTCATCACTCACACTCATCGTTTTGTGGTTTCCTGTGTGGAGAGGAGCAGCACACTCAACAAGTTTGCAGACTCCGATTTCTCGTCGTCATCAGGTATTCGTAGATGCGTGTGAATCCTAGGGTTTTCTTTATCGCAGTAATTCATGGAAGATAATGAAATCTCAGTTGTTCACGTTGATTCAATCTTTCTTTTTAGGGTTTCTTTAGAATAAAAAACATGGATTCATCCTATCCTTATAATTTCTGAAATTGATTTGATATAGTCGATGGAGTGTGATCTGTTTTCGTTGTAAAGTGGATGTTTCACGTGTTTGATTATTCAGTGTGCGAAATTTCATTCAAGGGTTTAGGGTATGTATTTATATCTGTTTTATTTATTGGAATTAGCACCTACATGTGTTACTTAGCGAATATTATTGGTTCCTTTGATGTTTACATGTCGGTTGCAACTCGGGCTTGATGTGAATGCGATAAGACTCCCATTATTCTCGGATCTATGATTAGGTGTAGAATGTGTAGTTTATTCTCCATGAGAATTATTGTAAGTAGATACACATGCTTCACTCTTTCAGCGTGGATAGCGTATTTATGTCATGATGTATCTTGTAAATCAGTTGCTAGTTTTGTTTGTGCGATTATTTTGCCTGATTTTTTTTATGTAAGCCATCAGTCCCACCTGCTCTTTCAGAAATTATGTTTAGGTGTCTTTGTTATCTCAATGGCTCAACGACAAGGAGAAAGTGGGTCAATTAGTGTGAAGCTGGACATTAGGTTAATCTGTTAGTTTATTGTCATGATTCCTTATTTAAATCTATTGAGTTTCATTTTCGTATCTTATTTACAGCTCCTTAGTGATATAACAAGCATCATAAGGTTGGTTGCTCTAGAATAAAAGACAGTGTTTTGGTTACGTTATGTTGCACTAGGACCAATCAGACTGCTGTGTTGGTACTTTGGTACATTTTTCTGGTAGTTTATTCTCACTGCAGCTTGCTTAGAAATGGACAGTGTTTGCTTTGTGACTTAAGAAAGTCTAGGTTTAACAAAAGATTAATGTAATGTAAATGATTGTCTATTTGGGCTGGTCATGAGGTTTAGAATGGTGATTACATTATGAAACATTTGAAGTTGAACTGTAGTGTGAAGGTGGACTAGGTTTTACGGAGTCAAGGAGATTATGGAAGATTGTTAATTATAACTTCTTTAGCTCTCCATATACTGTATTTCATCCAAATAACGAGTAATATATTGGATATTGGTGATGGATTTCATTTAATCTTAAAATTAACAACAAATCTTTTGTTTGGAGTAAAACTGATAACTACATGTTCATATAGAGATAGCGCGGAGATAAAAACCACACTTTTTGATGTCTAATCTGAGTTATAAATACTAAAATGCATTTGCAGAATCAGATGTACAATTCTTTTTGGATCAGGGAATATTGTATTAATAGGGAACTTCAAGTTTTGAACTTGGCATTTTCGCATGTGATGCCTACTATGTGGTCATATAGTTTATTGTGTAAATAGTATTCGCATAGCATGGAACTAGATTATTTTTCCATATGATGCTATAGTTATTTGTTAATTAAACATGTTCTTTTCCTGAATATGTATTCCACAGATCAGTTCTTTGAGGAATGCTGGATTGACTGGTCTTCTAATACAAAGAAGATGAGCAAGAAGAACCCGCTTGTATACTTGGATGTGTCTGTAGATGGGGATCCTGTTGAAAGAATGGTTTTTGAGGTGTGTTTTGAGCCATGATCTTTTAAATTTCTTTCATTTGTCTGTTTGCAGCATGTATTTCTACTTCTGATTCATCTATCTTCTATTTATGATTGCTTTATGTCTTTTTCTTGCCACGAAGGGAGACRTCTGCTGTAGATGGTTAGTATCACTGATTATAAAGGTCAAGACCTCATTATGTTTATGTGGTTTTGCAGCTCTTCTCAGATACTGTTCCCAAGACTGCAGAGAATTTCCGAGCACTTTGTACTGGTAATATGTAAACGATAATTGGTACTTGTGTCGTGAAACTTCTCTATAGCCTTCCTGTTGTATTAGCTTTAGAGAATTACTCAGATACTACTAAACATTGGCTACCACGTTGCCCTTGGAAGAATTCATGAACAATCTTAAATGTGTATTTATGTTTACCCAAGTACATTGGTTTCTACTTAGCTGATCCATATATAGTATAAAGGTTGAAAGTTTGGTTTATGCAGCCTTTCTTATTGTTAGATTTAGTAGGCTTTGATCTTGGTATTATCTGTTGGTGGACGTGGAGATTGATGCGTAATTAAATTTCAGGAGAAAAAGGGAATAGTCAGAAAACTGGAAGACCCCTACACTACAAAGGATCCTTCTTCCATCGCATAATCAAAGGATCCATGGCTCAGGTATGTTCTCTATCAATTACTTTTATATGTTATACTGTTTGTTCCTTTTCTACTTAGTTTCTTCTAGTTCTGTATGTCTTCGTGGAAGTCTGTCTTTTAGTCAGCTATCCTTGTTTACGCTGTAGGATACAGGGTTGATGGTCCCAACTGCTTTTCTTGTGATGTAGTTTTAAGGTTGTGCTTATTTGGTTGTATATCCTCACATATATTCTGAAGCTTATCATACAATGCCGTCTTCCGCAATGAATTCTAAACACATGTACTAGTAAATTAATGGCTGGTATTTGTTTTGCAGGGTGGGGACTTCTTTAAACGTGACGGTATGTACATTTTACCACCAACTTCTATTTTTGATTTATCTTAAGAGTGTTACCAATATAGCTGTGCCTGCATGCCCATTGGGTATACAATGCATATTTTATTACCTTTAATCTGGTTAAATTGTAAAGGGTTTTAGCATAAGCATGACGTCGAGTATTGTCAATTCTTTTAAGTAAAGTTGTATGAATTGCAAAATAAATTGCATAGTGGTATTGGCTTTTTATAACGTTGTAGCACGGGGGATGTTGCTAGAAACAGCCAACTTCAGGATTTTATTATTGCTAGAACAGTTGGCTATTAATTGCTTGCTGCTATTAGGATAATACCCTCTTTGCATGTATGAACATTTATTTGAGCAAGCAGCTTTGCGTTTAGGCCAGTTTAGGCATTACATTGCGTCTCTTATTTTTTTCATTATGTTAAAAATGAGATTTATAGGGACTTCTTTTCCACTATGGTCTACTAGATGTGCAGTTCTTACCTAATCATTGAAATGCATGCCATTGAACTTTATGGTTGCTGAATGTTCATGTTATTCGTCTGAGACTACGTTCTTTATTTACTTTTACAGGAAGTTATGGAGAAAGCATTTATGGTGGGAAATTTCCAGGTGAGAAGTCACTGTGTTCACTTGATTGTGGCATCTGTTTGAACCTTGATGGTCTTGATTTGTCCTAGGTAGTCGATGAATTTCAATAAAATTGTTCCAAAGTGTGTCAAAGATATGGAAATAAGCTCTAACTCCCTCTTCCTAAAATTATATATTTAATTATATTTACACTATACCGTTTGTATTTTGAGAGAAAATGGGTTTTTTTTCCTTTTTGCATTGCCTGTGAAGGTGGGGGCTGACATTGGTCTTATTCTCGCTGCATGGGAGCTCAACCCACAATGAAATTGGACAATTGTAATTGTCTTGAAATGGTGGGTGTATGAATATTTTGTGTGCCTTTGTTTCTAGATTGGTTTGAAATCTATGGTATGTGGTTAAAGTACAAAGTATATGGTTTGGATTGATATGCACAGATAATTGTTTCTGTTATATGCTTTGAGCAATGAATATGCTGTGAGTATTCTAATTTGTGCTTTTTTACAAGCTTGCATGTTCTACTTGAATAGTAGAAGAACGGGAAGAATCTTGGGTAGCATCGATCGTTATTCACTTCCTTTCTCAATTAAAGTTACTTGACTGAGTTCCCTTTGCACCGTTGCTGTTGGGAGGCCCATTGATTTTAGTTGCTCCTGGATTGACCACTATGAACCAATTTTCCTATTGTTCAAATGTGTTGGGAAGAAACTTTTTCTTGAAAATGTGACTCCTTTCTTCAAAGAACCCCGCTGCTGCTCAGCAAGAAGGTCCCATCTCATAAGGAAGGAAACTTGAGAACCCATGCAACCTTCATTGGTTTTTCGGTCTATGGATGGTTCAAAGCTACTTGATTTTTGTTGCATAAGAACACATTTTTAAAATGCTTGATCTGATGTATAATCCAGGTCTTGTTTGACCAGGTTTTGAATGTATATTATGTATAATGCATTAACTACTGACATTTTGCAGTGAATCTGTCATGATATCCTAGACAAATTTCCCTATCGTAATATGTTTCCTCAAATTAAGGTATTGGATATCTTCGTTATTTCAGTCGTGATAATGACCAGTTATGACATTTCAGATGAATCCTCCAAACTGAAACATGATGCAACTGGCCTTCTGACAATGGCAATCGCGGATCGTGATTCGCGTGGCTCTTTATTCAACTTGACTTTTGGTGCTAATCGTCATCTTGATAGGTTTGTTCATCTTTAACGTAGCAATTTTATGTTCATTTTTTAAGGTACAATTTTACCAACATCAGCTATGAACTGTTCTTTTTGGGCAATGAAATTTAGTGTTAGAAATGGCATTTCTTGAACAGGAAGTATATTGTCTTTGGGAAGCTTGTACAAGGACTTGATGTGCTGAAGAAGATCGAAAATGTGGGTGATGAAGATGGAAGACCGACTGTGACTGTGAAGATCATATACTGTGGTGAAATTAGTGAGAGTGAGAATCAGAGTTCTGGTATGGTGGTTGAAGTGTCTTCCATGAAGTTGGAACTTGAACTTTTGATCTTCATATATTAGTCTTCTATGGCTTGATCGTCTATTTTTCTTGAAAATCTTGGTTTGTCTTTAATCCTCATATAGATAAGAAGCCAGCGAGCAAATTAAAAACGGGCAAAGATGTTTCTTCGGAGGTTCACAGCCATGAAGTAAGGCGGAAGGGAAAGCACAAGAAATCTTCGAAAGAGCGAAGGAAGAAGAGAAAAAGATATTCTTCAACAGAGTCAGATAGTTCCTCAGACATGGAATCAGAATCATCTGAATCTGATAGTGATTTTGACTCCGATATATCATCGTCATCATCATCGTCTTCTGATCTTAGCTCGTCAAGTGATGATAGGCGTAAGAGAAAGAAGAGATCATCCAGAAGGGATCGACACAAACGTGGCAAAAAGAGGGACAAAAGACGTGATAAGAAGCGCAGGAAGCGTGATAAGAAGTCCAAACGCCGATCGAAAAGGTTGAAATATATACCGTATATGATCTAATGTTTTCAAGTTAAATATGGGCAAAAGATATTTTACATTAGTTGATGGTTCCTGTACACAATCATCAATTAATTGTCTCATTACACATAAATTGAAGGCAGTATTTGATAGGCCATGGAGTTCTATGAAAGCTTCGCTATTAGTCCATATCTAAATATCCCTAAACAATGATTTGTAATGATAAATGGCCAAAGAGGTAACCATAGATTGGAACTTCACCGTAAAGGGAATCGTGGGTGGCATTAATTTTTGGACATTGTGGAAAAGGATTGTTACAACTATCCTGCTGTGTACACCATATGTTCGTGTTCATAGTTTGTGTTGATGAACTTCCAACTCCTTTTTGCTTTGTGCTTTCCTTTTATGCTTTTCAGTTACTTTGTGGTTCTTTTTGTGAGAATTTTTTTATTTATTGCATAATGGCATCATGATTTTATGCCCTGTTTCAATTGCAGGATGTCTGATAGTGTCAGCAAGAGTATGAGTGAAGGTGAACATGGCTCTGAGGATAATGGTGATGTCAGAAAGCCAAATCGGAAGCATAATAACTTGGCTAAGATCACTGGTAGGATGACTAATATTTTATTGCGCTGGCATAAAATTCCAGTTCCCTTCTATGCTTTATGTTTTAGGAATCTCTCTCTCTTCGTTGTATAGTACTTGACATTCTCTAGAAATTGTTGACTTTCAATCTTGGTCTTAACTTTGATGCCTGAATGTTTGTTTGCATTACTTTGGTTCTGAACATGGTAGTGTTAAGTACACTTTCATCCTGAATTAAGCAAGAAGTTTGACTTGTAGCTCATGTTAATTTAGGGCTCAGACTGATGCAACTTTCTGAAGTACACAAGTTGGGTGGTAAATTGGTTAGTAAGACTAATAAGTATCTGCTGGCATCACAGTAGTCAGAAGGAAAACTGTTTGCCCTTACTCTGGAGTTGATGCTGGTTATTAAGAAAGTAGAAGCATGGCATATAGACAAAGATGTACTGAAATGAATTTAATAGTTGACTCTCATGTGTATGTTCAACAAATAGCAAGTCTATAAGCAGAATTTGCAGTTAGGTTTGGGCTTTTATTGACAATACTCAGATGTCAATTGGATTTTGTTTATGATTAAGAATCCTCCAATTCTCGTTTGAAGACTTGTTCTTAAAAGTCAATGGTTGTAGATGATAGTAGTCCCGGACCAGGTCAATTATATTTGATTGATCATTGATGGGATTGTCTGTTACTTGTGATTTCTTGATTTGTAGTTTGTCTGTTGATGGTATAGTGTTATTGTAGATATCTCCTTATTTAACTTTGTAAGGCTCGGCTTTCTTTAAAATAACGTTATTGTTGGGAGTTTAGTCCACTTTGAACAAGATGTTTGATCTGCATGTGTATCATTGAACTTGTTGAGTTATGAAATCTCAGCTTATGTGCTCCTTTATGTCTTAACTTAGAAACTCTTCACAATGTGTCGGAAATGAATATCTTGGTTTTTGCTGTGTCTTGTTAGACTCTTTGAATATGAGTCAGGCATTATTGGGAGTCTAACCAAGACTGGGTTATGTTCATCATCTTGTAGAACTGGTTTCAAATAGTTGCTACCTTTAAATCGATTGTGTCATATGCATCTTTCACACTCTAATTTTCATTGAAGTTGTTCGTCCTTCATCGTGGTTAAATTTTGTGCTGGAGGATTGTATTTTAGTTTCTTTTTTTGAAGCAAGGAACTTTTCTGTTCTTTGAATTGTTTTGGATGGTGGTAATAACGAGCATTTATTTGGAACTAGGTGGGCTAGTCCAAAATTTAAAACCCACAGGAGTTTGAAAGGAGTTTCCTAGCAGAAAGCATAAGGAGATTAACCCCCTAGTTTCAGGAGACAAGTGTACTTGGTTTTTTGTGGTCGACAACCCACCTTTTGAACTGTAACAGGTCTCTGCCTTATTTTATAGAACTTACCTTTTAAACTCACTGGAGTCTGGAGCTTCCAATCACATGTCTCATATACATTGTTTTGTTATCATCTGCCCTGCTTTATCCCTATTACTAGCACCACCTTCACTCTCTCTAAGATCTAACATAATGGAAGGCATCTTTTCTGTAAAGACATGCTTACATCTCTTTGTCCTCCTTATTATTGTGTGCACTGTTTTAGCACAGCATAATTGAAAACTTTTGGGTTTCAACTTGACTCTAATCTGCATCGACTGCTTGCCATTTGCTCGTGTGTATTAGCATGAGTTAACTACATGATATACTGGGATTATGTTTTTCACTCCAGATAAGGTTTTCTGTTTTGTTTTCATGACTTGATTTTCTGACATGCTAGAATTCATCTAGCATGTATTTGTCATGGTGTTGAAGGCAGGCTCATGGTTTACCTGTGCCCAACATTTGACATGATGTATACTATGATGTGAGGCTTACAAGGTAGCATCATGTGGCACAACTTGTGTTTTTTAAGAGAAGGCCTTTGTTGGGAGAGTGTAAATTATTAAGGATTTGCAATTTACATTAGGCCTTCCAATCTGGTGTTTGCAACTTGCAAGTATATTCTTCATTATTGTCTGGCATGTTAATTAATGATATAGCGATATAATTTCAGATTATATCTATTTGATGTGTTTATAGTTTATTCCTTTTTGTAAAGGCTCATTATCTATGGCACACACTATGTGGGTCATCTATATTTTAGCCTTGTGCCAGAGTTGGACATGACGTAACCACCTTGCTATTAGCAACACTAGATTTTTAGTTATTAAGAATCTCTCTCTTTACTTCCGAAACATATCTAGATGGAAATCAGTCTCCTTCAGCTGAAGTTGAAGATGGTTCTGTTCGTCATAAAACAGGAGACGCATATGATGAACATGAAAGGGAGGAGGGAGAGTATCCCAAGGAAAATGGTGATCGGCCAAGCAATGGTGTAGACACAGTGAAAGGTGCAGAGAGACCTGATGTAGTAGATGATCATCCAGGAAATTCCAGGTTTAATCTCATTTCCTCAAACTTCCAAAGACTTCATGTTCATAATGATGTCATGATTACCTTTGGTACTCCGGGGATTCCTACTGTTTTGCTCATTACCTTATTTCATATATCATCTCTACTGAATTGTTAAACAGAAGTAGAAGCAAAAGTCCTCGAAGGGCCTTGAGCAAGAGCATGAGTATCAGCCCTAGGAAGAGTATAAGCAAGAGCCCGAGTGTGAGCCCCAGGCGTAACTTGAGCAGGAGCCCTAGTGCCAGTGGGAGCCCTCGACATGCCTCCCCGCTAAAGAACAGGAGCCTGAGCCGGAGCCGGAGCCCGGTTAGAAGTGAAAGCAGCAGCAAGAGTCCAGTTAGAAGCATTAGCAGAAGTCCTGTGAGGGGTAAAAAGTCAAGAAGCATAAGTCCAAGCCCAGTTAGATCACGAATCCGTAAAAGTGTTAGCAGAAGCCCTACACCATCACCACCAAGGAGGAGTCTGAGTAAAAGTCCACTGCGAACGTCATCAAGGAAGTCCTCACGGAAGTCAGTGAGCAGAAGCCCCGTTAGGTCTTCTCGAAGAAGCTACAGCAGAAGCCCTGTGAGATCCTCTAAACGAAGCTTGAGTAGAAGCTCGGGTAGAGCCCCTTTAAGGAGAAGCCCTAGCAGGAGTCCAATCCGAGCACCCGCGAGGAGCAGCCGTCGCAGTTATTCTAGGAGTCCCGTAGGTGGACGCAGGGCTAGGTCACCTTTAGGTGATCGTGGAAGGAGCTTATCTAGAAGTGCTTCTCCTGATGGGTCACCCAAGCGTATCAGAAGAGGGAGGGGTTTCAGTAACCGATACTCTTATGCACGTCGATACCATTCTCCGGATCGTTCTCCAGTCAGATCTTATCGGTATGGCAGGAGTGACCGTGACAGGTAACCAACAGCACATTTAATTGTTAAATTTATTTGTTGAAAGAATCTTCACTAATGGACAACAGGAACAAAAAAATTTAGAATGAACTAGTCCAAATATGGGATACATGAAGTACCAAAATTTTGGAAGTGTATAATATTACTCACACCCTCCTTACCTTTGGTGAGGATAGAACCCTTGACCTCCTGGGAGCCTGGGCTCTACCTAGGGGTGTATTGAGCCGAGCCGAGTCGAGTCGAGTCGTAGGTCATTCGAGCTTGGCTGGAAAAAATTATACCATGCTCGAGCTTGAATAACCTTTTCAATGTAGGGCTAGAGCATGAATATGTTTCGAGTTATCGAGTTCGATGCTCGTGTATGGGCTCGTACACGGCATCGATTAACTCGTTTATTGGCTCGAGGTTGATAATTTTTATATTTTTGTTGTATTATTTATGAACATACGAGTATGTTGGCTATGCTTGAATGGCTCGGCTCAACTAGACTCCAAAAATTTAATCGAGCTTTTGAACGAGCCGAGTCGAACATTGGTTCAATGAAGCTCGACTCATTAAGTTAAACAAGTTCTATTTGTGTTCGAGATCAACTTGAGTGCGAGAACTATTAAGCTCGAGCTTGAGATAAATGAGCTCAAACTCGAGTAGCTCGTTATAAGCTTGACTCGTTTACACCCCTAGGGTACCGCTAGACCAATGACCCTTTTGGTAAGTATCATTTTTATATAATTTATATATATATATATATATATATATATATATAGGTGGAGGTTCAAACGAGAACCCCTGTGATTTACGAGAATGCGAGAACAACCCAATAACCTCAAACTTTTTTAATTAATAAATTAACTTTTATTATATATAAATAATTTAATAAGGACAATAATGTAATTAAGTAATTTTTATAATTTTTATTTTATTTTAATTAACCATAATTATCTTTTCACGTTCCACGTTTTACTCTTGGTAGTTATCTTCTTCTCGTTAACATCTTTTCTTCATATCACACCTCTATCACATAAGTATCACACTCATATCATATGATTATCACACCCATATTATATGATTACACTAAAATTTTAACTTGTCAACCAAAACGATAACCCAAGTGATGTATAACAGTGATTATCACACTCTTATCACATGATTATCACACCCAAATCACATGATGACACCAAAATTTTAACTTATCAACCAAAACGTTAACCCAAGTGATGTATAATGGTGATTATCACACCCCTATCACACTCATATCACATGATTACACCAAAATTTTAACTTATTAACCAAAACGATAACCCAAGTGATGTATAATGGTGATTATCACACCCCTATCACATGATTATCACACCTAGTATAATCCTAACCTATTTCGTAACCGTTTTACTAGATAATGATAATAATGAGTGTTTAAAAGATAATGATCGTGTTTAAAAGATTTGATGATATCATTTCCATTATTACCCTTTTAATTTTAAATTTTTTTGAATCTTTTTGTATTTAAATTTAAATTTTAAAAATCTTTTAATTTTATTTTTTATCACAATATGAGGTTATTGGGTTGTTCTTGCGTTCTCGTAAATCACAGGGGTTCTCGTTTGAACCCTTCCCTAGATATATATAGATATATATATATATGGCGAGACCCTGTCAAAATGCGATCCATTGATTTTGACCTATGTGGTCTTGTATGCATTAGAAATCATCCGGCAGCCACCATCTGTGGGGGCATTTTTTGTATGCGTATTCTATGTGACATTTGTATGAAATTTGTTTATTCCAATGGTCAATTTTTGTTTGTAGGTATTCTAGCTATAGGCGCCGCAGCCCTCTGAGAGACAGAAGTCCACCAAGGTGTGTTTGGAATGTCTTGAAACCTCCTTTTCAAATGAAAATAAGTTGTCACAAATTCAAAGGTGTATTCAATGAAAGAAAGAGCTTCTCTTTTCTTTCTTTTTTCGCATTTTTGTCCGTATTTATGCCCTGCCATTAGTTCGAAAAGATTATCTGTTGATTCAGTTAATGTCATCTGATCATTGATGCTGCTCTATAATGCAGATACAGAGCAAGAAGAAGCAGGACCCGAAGTCCAAGTGTATCACGAAGCCCTGTGCGCTATCGTCGCCGCTACAGTCGTAGCCGTTCTCCTGTGGAAACATCTCGATACCGCCCTTCGCCACCAGTGGAGAGAAGAAGGGCGGCTCGTAGCAGAACCCCACCTTCTCGAAGCAGGAGCCCATATGAAGCAAGATCTTCTCCCTCTCCATCTCCCAGAAGGACCAGCAAGTCAAAGTCAAAATCGAAGTCAAAATCAGTATCAGGATCGAGATCAAGATCTAGGTCATCTTCTGGAAGCCCACCTGGTAAGAAAGGACTGGTGTCTTATGGAGATGGCTCTCCTGACTCTGGTCAGAAGTGAGGAAATGATTTGAGGCATCTGAAGTGGAAGTGATTTATAGACTCGGTTATGTAGGGGGTGTGTTTTGAATAATTTGACTATTTTATGCACTGTATTTCTCTCTCGTCTATGGAGGTGCCTGCTAGACTAGTTGGATGTGTTTTTCAGAGGTTAGACTTGTGTTTTTAAAGCTTCTGTTATCAATTTTTATCACCAGTGCAACCTAAACATTATTATTGTTATGGTTATGGACTTGTATGTCTGGCATCTTTTTCAGCATTGTGCATATACAGTTATACATCCTTTAAAGGGTCATCGGCCTGGTGGTACCTGGGTAGACCCTGGTTCAAACGTCAAAAAGCGAGGAGAGTTGCATAAGTATGGGGTTGTTTGGATTGTTTTCCATTATATCTTATGTGATAAAACTGTATGTATGGATTAATATGTTTGTAAAGATTGTGAAGGTTTTGTTTAGGAGGGTTTTTTCAGAGATGGGAATAAGGAGTGCCCTTCTTAATCGGAAGGACAGGTTCAAAAAACATGTCTTTCTGCATAAAGGTCCTCTTTGTAAGCTTACTGAATAAGCTATCTTCGATGTTATTAATGCACCCTAAACATTATTATATAGGCTGAACGAGTAAGATGTGAGTCTTGTTAAGCTATTAAAAAATTTAACTTATATATTATGATTGAAATAGAGGGAGGTTCATTTAGGAACTTTAAATATTTTAAAAACCATTTTTTTTGTAAGTATTCATGATAAAATATTAATGATGAATGTCTATGACATATATTTATAATTAACAATATTTATAATAAATGCTTGTAAAATAGATTGTTTTTGATTTCTAAAATATTTAAGGTTCTTAAACGAACCTTCCTCTACTTTAATATTGTAAAAGATCATTCTTATACTGGTAACATTACATGCAACATATGTCTTATAATTCTTGTCAAGATGTCTTTGATTTCAAGATTTGGCAAGTATCTTTAATGTTTTTAATGTATATTCGAACTTTTTTGTGTATAAATTTTATTGTTTTTTTTTTTAAATAAACTTTTAAATACAGTCATCTTGATAATTATAATATTTTCTGTTTTGAACTACTGTTTTCAAAGCCTTACAATTTTATTGTGTTGGTTATCAATTGAAACAAATATTCCAGTTTGTTACATTGTGGTAGAAAAATATTCAATTCGATAACTTGTTAATCACGTACAAGTTCGTTTTGCCTTTTTCGAACTCCTTGAATTTAGGGGAAAACATGAAAATATCACGAAACTGTAGGGGGGAATCTTGTATTTCTAGAAGTTGAAGGTCACCGGCCATGGCGACAGGCGACGTGAAGAATACGGAACATACACCAAACCCTAGCATCTCCATGGCAGAGAATCACTCTCCACCCCTGAAACGAACACATAGCTACCTCCTTCACGATGATAACCACGTAAAGCTTTCGGTAACATGACTTCTTCATTGAATTTATGAATCATTTGATCGATTTTTAATCTAGTTCAGATCTTTTTATTTGATATAATCTGTAAATGTGAGTGTATAATGTTGTGATTCTCAGTAAAGCTTATTAATGGTGAGCTGTGATAAGAGAAGAGAATTAGAGAAGGGTGAGATACTGAGATCATAAGATATTTTCATTAATTACCATGGTATAAGCATTTAACAGAATTGTTTGATGAAAAATGGCAGTAGTGTACTTGTGATTAGGTCTTTGGCCACCAAAGATACGTATGTACCTGACCTAGTGGTAAGGCTTGGGCATGGCATAGTCATGAACCCGAGTTCGAGCCCTGGGAGGGGAGTGTTGGCGACATTTAAGAGGGGCCATGTTTAGCCTCCAAAATTGCCGGGGATTAGTCGGGCTTTGGCCCGGACACCCTTACAAAAAAAAAAAAGATACGTATGTACATATATATTCTTATAGTTCATGTCAATATACAGCGGGCATCGCAATAGGAGAATTTTCAGGGAGTAAGTTAGGGGAATGGGGCAGAAGGGTAACCCTTCCTGTCAAATTGGTTATGAATGTGTGAAGTCGGTGCTATGTGGTTTCGGTTGCCATGGTTCAGGCTGGAATTGCCAATCCCTTTTCTCTAACTTCGAGTTTTCTTGCCTATCCATTGGGTCACATGATAATAAAAGTAGCATTATAAAATTAAATTTAGGAAGATGAGCATTTGGTTTGTTTTATAACTTGTCTGATGCAACCTGCATTTCTTCAAATTTTCAAAAGATGAATATGATGTTGGGTGGTTCTGTTTGGACAAAGACAAACCTCACTGATGCCTTGTCTGTTCCCAGTATTTCAAGGTGATTGAAACATTCCATTATTACTCTGTTTTTTTTTTTGCTTACATCCATTGCATCTTGGCATAGGAAAATAATTGCCATCTATATGATATCTTTATAAGTTGAAATTACCGGAAAAACGATTACTTGATAGCAGCTTCTTTATTTTGTTATATCTTGTTCACAGCTTGAAGTGGTTGTCTCTGGAGGACTTTCATACAGTGATGGGGATGATGATGTTCATGTTTTACCAGCTATTAAGCCTGTTTAACTCAAGTGACAGAGAAGAGAGTCGATTACACATTACAGCATTTGATCCCTAACAAGAGTCGCATGTTTGTCACCATCCTTTGTTCATGAGACTATAACATCAACCAGTTTGTCTGTTCGTTACTTATGCTATTTTCTCGGTATAATCAGATCCATTAAACCTTGATATTTGACTTCTGATTTATGCATGTAGACATGCCATTTTGACATGCTTTCCATGGTAACTTCCACCTTCCACTTGATGATGATCTACAAAATATAGGGAACTTGTTGAGTTCATGGTTTACTATTTTTGTTTTTGTTTTTGGTGAATAACTTCCATGATGTTTGGAGGTTATTATAGTTTAATAAATAATGCATCTTTTGTATTGATGAAGAAGTTAAGATTGATATGTCATAGGCCTACTCTTTACTGACAAATGATGATTTTTTGTAATTGGTTTTGGATTGACAGGCAACAAGTGATATTGATCATCATGTTCTATTCACTGTGCTATGCTTTAAATAATGCTCCAAGGCCTACCAATACATGGTGATATTTACAAAGCAAAGGCATTGGATTGGCTAATAAGTATGTTTCTACCTTATATTAACCTTCATTTTCACTAACATTGTAGGAATCAGATGATTTTCATTTTTGTTGTCTAGGCTGTCTCTGCATTTGTGATGGCAGCTGGTAAGCTATGGAACACCATTTCTGAGTGCATCTTCCAAATTCAATCTGATTCTGATGACAGAGCTAAAGAGAAGGCACTTTAAAACTAGTTTTCATCACAAAAGCAAGTCCTCCACAAAGGAACTTAGTTGTGCAGAATAATGAAGCCATTCCCACTATTCTCTCCCTACTTAAGTCCTCCACTTCTACTCTCGAGAGACCCTCACTCCCCATTCTCTTCAATCTCTCATTAAACCCTAATCTCAAATTGACCTTTGCAGACATAGAAACCATTCAAAACCTCAATGATGTGATCCTCTATCATGGGTCCCTCGAGTCTAGGAAATTAGCGGCTTCTCTAATATGCAGCCTGGCAATGCTAGATAAAAATAAAGCAGTATTTGGGTAGCGAATACAATCAAAGCTTTGTTGAAGGCAGTTTCAAGACCTGATGGTCCTGTTACACGTCACCTCCTCAGCTCGCTCACTGAGTTGGTGCACTTCCATGGGAATTGCACCTTGGCCGTCAGATCAGGTGCAGTCAGTGTTCTCCTGTAAATAGTGGAGAATGTGGACTGTGAAGATCTGAGTGGGAATGCTCTTGTTATTCTAGAGCTTCTTTTTAGGTTCAATGAAGGGCTAAAAGCTTTGACAAATACACCTAGTATTGTGAGTAAGATGTTTGATGTGTTGAAAAGTAGGTGCATGTTGAACAATGAGGGTGCAGCTGAGGTACTTCGTTTGATGAGAGTGAGGAATGCTTGAGAGACGCACTGGGTTTGCCAGATCTCATGTTTGTGTTAGCCGAACTCTCGGTGAGAGGATCAATAAGAGTCCGGGAGAAGGCTTCCCTGTTATTGAGAAAACTCGAGGCCAATGAATCATATTCAGAGGATAACCTAGTGTTCTAGCAATGGTAATATCGAATGCTTGTCTTAGAGATGTAACATAATAAGAGCTTTTGCTTGTTTTGTAGCACATGGATTTGCACATTACTCGATCCTGTTCGAAATCGTAGGCAATGAATCGGTGGATCCATTTTTAGAAAGCCTTTTTTGTTTGAAAATGAGGCTACAAATTGGTGGATATGTTACACGAAAGTGTTTTGACTTGCATGTTTGTACATTACAACTATCAATTGAAACGGTTTGTAGATCCCATCTAGCCAAACTATCAATTGAAACGGTTTGTAGATCCCATCTAGCCAAATGACGTTTTACCAAGTTTATGTAGGGATTAAGAAAGAGAAAATAAGCGATATATATGACATTGGTGAAGAAAATATTTGTTTGAAATATGTATTATTAGGAAAAATATTATACTACCTTCAAACTTATTGTTGACAGTGTGGCATGATAACATGTCTTATCTTCTGTTTCATTTAACAAATTTATCCTTTCATATGTTACATTATCATGTCCATCCTCAAGTACTAAGTTTGATGATATATTACCTATTAAGTATACTTCGTATATTTACCCTTCTTGATTATGGATGCAAAATATGTTCAAATTTAACATAGCGTTCAGGCATTCTATATTCTTGAACTCTAGATCATATCTTACTTTAGCCGGTCTATAAGCTTGAGGTTATCACTTACAGAGTAACAAATTATACAAAAGAATGAATTGAAGTAAATTTAAGAATAATATCAAGTAAAAAAGAAGTTAAATTTATAAAGAGAACCTACCTATCTTGTATTCAACTGATGACAATAATTGCTTTTGAGCATTTTGGCCAAAGGTGAAGGCTAGACCACGCAGGCGGCATAAATGGGGGTTTATCTTTTGTGGTTTTAACATGGAGTAGACCTATAAGCTTTTATTTGGTTAGATAGTACATATTTAGTATTGGTTTCTTGTGTATCCTTAGTGTCACCAATGAAATTTTTTATAGTAGAGGGATTGCTTTAGAAAATGCGAAAGTATTGTGGAAAAATCTAGAGATGTTAAAAATATGAACTTACATGTTTCATACATAATACTTCAGTGTTTCATTTAAGAAACTATTTTGTGTAAATTTGTGTAATTATTAAATGAACTTATTGCTTTTTGCAAAATTTAACTTCTTTACTAAATATGTAAGTTAGGATTGCCTAGGAAAATTACTTGAGCCCTATTTGGGTCTACCTCTCTCTCCCATCCTCTATTGTGCCCTTTCCCCTTTATTGCACCCTCAACCTTGTCCATCGGCGTTGGATATCATCGAGCGTTGCATCTACTACCGTATCATTCTGTTGCGCCTTTGCTACACTAAACACAAGAATTTATTTAGTGCATTGAAATCCAGGTATCTTTTTGGAATGCTTAACTATCTGATCTAGTTTGATTCCACATAGATTATTCAATCATTTTACTTATAATGCTTTTCAGTTACAGTAAATTATCTTGTTAATGAAAAGAATTGTCTTTAGTTGTTTGAAAAAAGTGTTTTATGTGCTTCCAATTAGGCTATTTTGATGTGTTAATTACAGCGAACGTAGTGCGTATATGGAAGGTAATTATTTAGGTTCTAATTTGATGGTAAACAATGTTAGGTTTTTCGTTAAGTTTAATGAACATCTGTTAACTAAGGTAATTTCTTTGATTACTTGGAAGTGATTATAGTTTTTTGAGATTCAGTGCAATGGGTGTGATATCACATAGATTATGACGATGGGTCACTAAATCTTATGTGCTATTGCTTGTTACCCATCTAGGAGATTGACAAGAAAACAACTGTGGAGTTCCATAAGGTCTTGGATCGCGGTATTCTTATCTTTTCATGGTTACCTTTAGCAAAATCTCAATATGGTTTGAACTATGGAAGTATATCCATTTCTTTTAGGTCTCCTCAATTTGGGAAATTAGTGATGGCATTTAGCTATAACTCATTAACTTATTGTGATCTAAAATATTATGTGCACATTTTTGCAAGAGTTATCTTTAAGGAATTCTATATCCTGTTGGAAATTGCTTTTGATTTCATATGCTATGCTCATCTAAAGACAGGCTCATTTCAGAAAATTTAGACCATCAATTTGGATATGGTCATAGCAACTATGCCAAGGCATCTTTGTGATTTAAAGGTGATTGATTTTACTCTCATCATTTATCCCATATTTTTCGTGGTTAATTGTCTTACATTTAGATCATTGGCTCTTGACCAAGTCAAACCTCATTTTTTTCATTTCGTCTTGCACCTCATCTTTCATCATTTGGTCTATAGGGTGTAACTATGGGTTTTGGTTGAATGAAGCACTCTCTTTAAACATAAGATATAGTCAATTTGAATTTGCGTCGTGGTTGAACTTGGTTTTTTTCCGCTCAGCCTTCACCCTCTTTGGCTCTAATTTTCATCATCAAGTCCTAGCCCTGCTTGCTATTCGGTCCTTGAGGTTTTGGCCTTGTGGGTAAGGAGGTGGGCCTCCTTGTAGAATGAGTGGGAGGTCTACTGTTCGACTCTAGACACCACCCACCTGGCCCTTGGGGGACCCAATTGCCAACTCCATGATGGCCGTGGGACATGTATGATTGGGAAAAAGGGGGGGGGGGGGTCCAAAGGGTGGCGTCATACCCTTTTCGCAAAAAGTCCTAGCCGAACTGGGTGTCACCTTTTCTTGTCAAGAGATGTAACTGATGCATCTTACTTGGCGTCTTTTAGTGTAGCCCAATGAATTTTGTTTATTGATTCAAGAAATTCTAAACCTTGTACTTCACTCATTCTTTAGGCCTAAGATGTAAAGTCTATCCACCACCTTTTGATTTTTTTAAAGTGGAATTCTTGTTAGGTTGTTAGCTAGTTTCTTTTTAGTTCTAGCGTCTTTAAGGTACATTGTTTACCGATGATTTTTTTCCATGCTAAGATACCTTGGACATGGTTTTATCCACGCCAAGGATTCAACTTTTTTCCATAGGTTCGACACTTAAGGGTAACACCTAGTAGTCTCATTTCAGCTTAATTAGATTATCTTTCTTGTCTCAAATATGGCTATCTTACATGCCTTTTCATCTTGTTTGGTTCAAGCATGATTATGATGAGCCCATGTACTTCATTCAGGTAATCCCCTCCACTTGGAGTAAGTTTTCATGTAGAGATTGTATTCTTTCTACTAGCAGGTCATATAGATTGCATCGACACTTCAACTTATTGTTGCTATCCATTGTTTCCTGAAGAGTTGGTTAGCTCATGTTGATTGACAAATTTCCTTAGATTTCCCAGCTAATGCGAAACTATATCTTATCCTTATGTTGGTAAAATTCATTTGTCATGTCCATGAACCATGTAAAATTTGCAAAACTTACAACTATCTCCTGTCCAGGGTGTGAACATTTGGTTGACCACTAAAGTTGGGTTCATCCTAGATCTCCAGAAGGATGTGGACTACTGTTGAGTTTAGAGGGATGTATGGTTTAAATTGGTTTGTCGAGCTACCAATCCTTGGGCTTTAATCTGTCTTTCCTTTCTTACATCATTCTATTTGGACTGCTCTATTGTTGTTCTTCTTTCTTTTGGTAGATTCTTCACCCATTGATCAAATGATTTCCATCAAGATTTACTTCACTATTCTTCCCTATGCTTGCCACCAATCTTCAAGGGTTTCTATGCAAGAAAGACTGTAAGCCCTTGTATGTGGTCTCCTTGGATGAGACCGTTACGAATACTGCATAACCATTGTACACATGATAATGTGAATGCAAAATGAATTGTTCTTATATCATGATCATGGGTTTTGCTGCCACTTAACTCATTTATAAAGAGTTCAGTTAGTTGATTGAATGAGCTCATGGAACTATGAGTAAATTCCCATATAAGGCTTTTGCATGAGGAGGGTTTCCTCTTAATATGGTTAGTTTCTGACCTTTAGCAGTTCTGTTCCCCATCATATGGTCATCATAAATCCTCTATGAAGAAGCAAGTGGTGGTACTATATGACCATAATGATTGACCTCTAAGGTATGACAGTTCAAGAAACACTAGAATTGCTCATTGTTGATCTAATTGTGGTCCAACTTTATAGCTAGTAGAAGTAATTTGGAGTGATATAAGGGCCTGTTTGTTAGCAGCTTAATGGGACTCACAGCTTATTCGGTCAGCTATACATGACTGTTTGGTAGTGGCTTAATGATATAAAAAATGGCTTATTCAGTAAGTTTTCAGGGCGAGCTTTATGCAGAAAGCCAAGTTTTTTTCCCTTCAAAATCTTCCACTCCAATAAAAAAAGACACGCTCCTTCCATCTATAAGAAACCCTCCCAAACAAAAACGTTCCCAATTTATAGAGATAGATTAATCCGCACAGACAATTCATCCATACAGGACTTGATGGAAAACCAACGAAACAGGCCGTAAGACTCTTTTAGATTATTGTTCCATTTAAGGAGAAATGAGCCATTACTAAGCCAAACAGAGACGGTATACCCCACGCAGAGGTAGGGTCTGGGTACTGTTTTCTTCTATTATTACTTAACATATTAAATTTTATTTTCTTGAATGAAAGCATTTTTCATGGATTATATAAATAGAAACTGATTTAATATTTAAAAAAGTCAAAAACAGACTAATGATTTCAGTTTTTGTAGAAGAAAAATGAGCAAGCCAGGAGATTGGAATTGCAAGTCATGCCAGCACTTGAACTTCTACTGGAGGCAGTCATGCCAAAGATGCCAGGAGACACGACCTGAGGGCATTGGCGGCAGTTTGGGTGGCCAAGTTTGGACCTTCTCTGCTTCTGATCCTTGGGTCCCTAACTTCAGACCTGGAGACTGGTTCTGCGGTATAGCGACCTGTCAGGCTCACAATTTCTCTAACCGGCGGTTCTGTTTCAAATGTGGTGCGATAAAAAATGTACCATCTTTTGGTGGAAATTTTAGATCCTTGGTTCCCCCTAGGGGTCTTGGTTTCTATGGTAGAAGGGGTGGCAAAATCAGCCAGCGAGGGTGGAAGCCTGGAGACTGGTTCTGCAGCAGGTATTTAACCATTCTCGTAGTCTTAGCGGGTTCTTTGGCTAAATGACCTTCTGTAGGGTTTTTTATATAAAAAAATCTATGATCTTTTTTGACAGGTTTGAAAATATCATTGCTTAACAGAAGAATGTCACTTTCATACACGAAAATACCTAAAAACCTATTAGTCTTGGTTAACTTGCATTTGTGAAATAAAACTTGCTCATGAACTGATATACACAGGCGTGAATGCAATGCACACAACTATGGCAGCCGCGTGAAGTGTTTCAAGTGCAATTCATCACGAGAGTTGGTTGGCAACGAGTCTAACTAATCTCGTTGCATCTCGGGTTTATGGTAAGGATTGATGTTTGCATCTCTTATTTGTCTAACTAATCTCGTTGCATCTCGTTACATGTGTATATATGTGTGTGTATTTGCGAGTCTAATTTACATCATGTCTTTTGTATGAATGCGATGTTTCAGGTCTTTCTATCAGTTAAGGAGCGAGAAGGTTGTGTCTTAGACCATTTTGCCCCTATCCTATGCCAGTTTCTTTGGTTTGGTTTAATGGTAATGGACTTTGTATCTACTAAGATAAATTATGGAGGATGTAATCACAACTGCTTTCTTTAGATTGAATGGAATTATGGAGTGCTAAGATTTTTGTGGTTTTTTGGTTTTAATTGGATTGGGGTGTTTGAGATTGCCTATTAAAACAACGTATTGACTTATTTCGGTGTGATACCAGTTGGATAAATAGTTTATTTGGGTGCCAAACTGGTAATAAGGAGTTTTTGAAAAAGTTAAATTATTCTAACTTATAATAAAATGATAAGGACTTTTGTAAAAAACATAAGTTGTTTCAAATAAACAATCCCAAATACCTCCAAGTTAAAATGAGCAACAGATCTTAAACTAAAATTTTAGAAAATCAAAAAGTTATTTTATTGTAAAATAATTTATTGTAATAGTTGGTGACAAAAAAACTACGAGGTGGCTATTTTTGTTACTACGTGGAAATGAGGTGCATTTATTTAAAAGAAGCACGAGGTATGCACCGACAAGCACCTCTGTTGTCGGGGAAAATTAACCGGCTATCACCGGTCGACTTTTGGTAATCATCAACATACGTCGTCGTCTTAGCTTATTGCAAACGTGCTAAAATCTTGTTAGCTGCGTAAGCTACAACCCACTTGAGCCGTGTTCTCTGGCTCCACGGCTCGGCAACTTTGTTGTTAAATGTTATAAAAAGCATCTTGACCAACTATATCAACATACAAAAATTTATATTTTTTTTACTTAAATAACTAAGTTAAATGGAATGTTAAAATAAAAAATTAGATATAAAATTTTAAATTTGAGAAAATCTATAAAATTATACAAGAGAGAAAAAATAACATCTTAATTCTTTCATATTAATAAAAAGTATTGAAATTAACTGCATATGAGAATTTTTATTATTAAATAAAATAAATATTTTATTAATATAATTAATGTTAAAATTAATAAAATAAAATAATTATTAGAGTTGAATGTAATTTTTTTTAATATTTTTTTTACATTTTACTAAATTTTTTTATAAGAAAGCTGAAATGATCTAAAACAAAGGACAAATAACTTGATATAAAATTGATAATATATGTAATAATTAAATGAATAATAAGCCACCTCTAATGTAGAGCAGCTGACTGGCAGCCGCTAAGCTGCCAAACCGAGCTGATCCCATTTACCCTCCACCGCTAATCGTCATTATCACCAAATCTCTCTTAAAAAATCAATAAAATAAAATGATCCAAAAGGCAGTGATATAAATCAAGTGAAACGACAAGCACTGAAAGAAAGATCAAGAATGGGCCATTTGCAGTTCAAGACAATGCCCGTGAAACTTCATTGATCTTCAAAATCTTAATCAAATCAAGAAAAAAGTTTCAATCTTGGGTTTTTTAATCAATCCTCTGTTTCTTCTTTTAATCGAAAGATATGGAGGCAAATGGAGGATTGGTAGCTGGATCTCATAAGAGGAATGAGTTGGTCAGAATAAGACATGATTCTGATGGAGGGGTATGTCTTCTTCAGTTTTAGAAAATGACCTTTTCACTGATTTTTTTGTGGATGATTAGTGTGCTGAAGTGAAATTAACAGTAGGGTTCTTGGTTAATCCAAATGTGTTGATTTTGTTTAAATCCCAGTGTTTGATTTTGTGGCTAATCAGCTCAGTAACAAGTGATGGTTATGATTTTGAATTATTAGTCTGACATTGCTGTTAAACTTTTAATTGGGTTTTTGGCATTTATGGATTTTAGATCTAAACCCCTGATTGTATTTGTGATTAAAGTTTCTACTTTCAGCTCCATTCTTGATTATTAAGTGAAAAGATGACCCAGACTTTGATATTTCAGGGCTGTTTGGTTGGTTTTCATTAAGCCCTTAATGTATAAAGCTGTCTGTATGAATTAATCTGTCTGTATGTATTGGAAAAGGTTTTGTTTGGGAGGGTTTTTCATAGATGGAAAGAATGTGTTTTTTTAATTGGGAGGGCCACGTTTGGGAAAAACTAGGCCTTCAGCATAAGGCTCCCCCTAATAGCTTAAAAATAAGCCCCACTACCAAACATTCATGTATAGCTTACTGAATAAGCTGCAAGTCCCATTAAGTTCATTAAATTGTTAACAAACAGACCCTTAGTTATTTTATGTGGAGCTGCAATGTGTTTCTTAATAACATCTAATGATAGGAATGGCAAGTTTCTGGTGGTTAATTTGACAAATTTTCAGCTTACGAATCAAGCTTTTTTCGGTTAATTTGAATTAAACCAAATTTAATTGATCTTGAGTTCTTGACAGTTTCGGTTGACAAAACTGAACTAGAATATTTGGATCATTTGCATAAGCTTGGATAGAAAAATATTTCTTATTGGAAGATCTGATGTACTCTTACGAGTTTGGTTTTATTTGATAAACTTGGACTTTTACAGTCATTTCCAGTAAAGTACTTATTCATTATGGCATTGACTATGCAGCCGAAGCCATTGAAGAATGTGAACGGGCAGATATGCCAGATTTGTGGTGATACTCTTGGCCTCACTGAAAGCGGTGATGTATTTGTTGCTTGCAACGAGTGTGCGTTTCCCGTTTGCAGGCCGTGCTACGAGTATGAAAGGAGAGATGGAAATCAAGCGTGCCCTCAGTGCAAGACTCGATACAAGAGACACAAAGGTTGGCTTATGTTCATCAAGAACTCATTAGGGGTTTCTTGAAGACATGTAGTAGATGATTTAGTTTTTAGTTTTTGTAATAATGAAGTATGAGTGTTTTAGGGAGTCCTCGTGTTGATGGTGATGACGATGAGGATGATGTCGATGACTTGGAGAACGAGTTTAATTATGCTCAAGGGAACGGAAAAACACGACACCGATGGCAAGGAGAAGACACCGATCTTTCTTCATCTTCTAGACATGAAACTCGACAACCAGTTCCCCTACTCACTAGCGGGCAACAAGTAAGGAATGATTTATGTAGATATTTCTTTTTTGTTAATTGTGGGTGTCTGGGTGAGCTTGCATGCATCTCAACTAATCCCATGAGACCCCAGATATAACAACCAGGGAAATCCCTAGTGGCCATGAAGAGACTTGAACCGGCGACCTATCGGACCCACAAAATGAAACATTGAACAAAATTAAACTTTGGGGTGTTTGATTGGTTTTCTATTAGGTCCTGTATGGATAAAGTTGTCCGTGTGGATTAATCTGTAGAAGATTTTTGTTTGGGAGGGGGTCTCATAAATGGAAGGTGCTTGTTTTTTAATTGGGACTTGCGGTTTTGGAAAAAGCTTGGCTTTCTGTATAAAGCCCAAATAAGCCACTCTATAATCTCTATATCATTAAGCCACTACCAAACTGTCATGCATAACTGACTGAATAAGCTGTGAGTCTCATTAAGCTCATGAAACTGCTAACAATCGGACCCTTATAGGACCTAATGTTTTGTGGTTACTCGAAGGTTTATCAAAGATATCTATATTCCATGTTGTTTCTCTGTTAAGTACGTAGGCTTACATCCATGGTGCTATTTTCAGGTATCCGGTGAAATTCCAAGTGCCACACCCGACACTTTGTCCATAAGAAGTACATCTGGTCCGTTAGGCCCTGGTGACAAGCACGTCCACTCACTTCCATATATTGATCCTAGGCAACCAGGTGCCTTTTTACCTACTATTAACCAGAATTTTGTGCATTTTTTGTGGTAATTATAGTAACAGTGTCCTTTTCACAGTTCCTGTAAGAATTGTGGACCCATCAAAGGACTTGAATTCTTATGGGCTTGGTAACGTCGACTGGAAGGAAAGGGTAGAAGGGTGGAAGATAAAACAGGACAAAAATATAATGCAAATGGCAAACAGATACAGTGGTGAAGGAAGAGGCGGTGAGATTGAAGGCACAGGATCAAATGGAGAAGAACTGCAACTGTAAGCATCTATTCATATATGAATTCATTTAGTCCCAAAAAAGGAGACAACTTTAAGCATCTATTCATATATGAATTCATTTAGTCCCAAAAAAGTTGCAACTGTAAGCATCTATTCATATATGACTCCATTTAGTCCCAAAAAAGGAGACAACTTTACAATCTTTAAGGAAGTTAAAGGTCGGGTTTCAAACAATCCGTTGAGGAATTTATGCACTATCTTTCTGTCACAGGGTTGATGATCCTCGGCAATCAATGAGCCGTGTGGTGCCTATTTCATCTTCTCATCTAACTCCCTATCGTGTTGTGATTATCTTGCGGCTGATTATCTTGGGCTTTTTCTTGCAATACCGTTGCACTCATCCGGTTAAAGATGCTTATCCGTTGTGGCTCGTATCTGTCATTTGTGAGGTTTGGTTTGCATTATCTTGGCTTCTGGATCAATTTCCGAAATGGGCACCTGTTGAACGTGAGACCTACCTTGATAGGCTTGCATTGAGGTAATCTGATATAAATTTTGTATAATTTGTCCTGAAAATTTCTAAGAAGGGGAACTTTTCAATTTTCTGTATATCCCACCCGGAGGTGGGGTTAGGGGAGGGTAAGATATAGTAGACCTGTTCACTGGCGGGTCGGCTGCGAAACATTTTTCTTTTTCTAAATTATGTACATTGTTATCTGATTTTAAGTTGGTTGGAAAAATTGTAATGTTGTTATTTTATATAAGTTTTGTTTTCTTAAAAAATAAAAAGATTTTTAGGCCCGTTTATAGGACGAGTATGGCCGATGGGCAAGTTTTCAAGCCCGTTAAAATGGGCTTGGGTTTGTCATATTAGGCCCATTGGACAAGAAAAATAGGTTAGGCTCGGCCCAAGCCTGCAAATGATCGGCTCTAAGATATAACAGCTGTTTTCGTGATATTTGAAGAAGAATCTATAACGGAAACTAGACCATTTGCAGGTTCGATAGGGAGGGAGAGCCTTCGCAGTTGGCACCTATAGATGTCTTTGTGAGTACGGTGGATCCTTTAAAAGAGCCTCCCCTCGTGACTGCAAACACCGTGTTATCAATTCTTGCTGTCGAGTATCCTGTCGACAAAGTCTCGTGCTATGTATCTGATGACGGTTCTGCGATGCTCACATTTGAGTCCCTTTCCGAGACAGCAGAGTTTGCGAGGAAGTGGGTCCCATTCTGCAAGAAGCATTCCATCGAGCCTAGAGCCCCCGAGTTCTACTTTGCTCAGAAGATAGATTACCTGAAGGACAAGATTCAACCTTCTTTCGTCAAAGAACGAAGAGCAATGAAGGTGAGTTTCGTGTTGCTTTGCTTTACTAAATTACTACTTCGTCCAAAAACTATGCTTAAAAATATGTATGAACAGAGAGAATATGAAGAATTTAAAGTGCGGATCAATGCGCTTGTAGCCAAAGCCCAAAAGATGCCGGAAGAAGGTTGGACAATGCAAGATGGAACTCCTTGGCCCGGAAATAATCCCCGAGATCATCCGGGAATGATACAGGTATTTAGTTATCGAATAACTGTAAAATTTGTTTAAAAAACAATCGTTTTATTCTAATGATATATTTTGTTATAAAAAATATTTTTTTTATTATAATTTAATAAAGGAGTCAAAATAGATAAAATATATAAGCAACTCACTAAGGGTAAATTGGTCATTTTATATGTTCTGTCCAATCCAGTTTTGTTTTACCGAACACTAAACAACTGTTCTGGTGTGTCTACTGTCTCATTCTGTCTTACCCTGTAACGCTCCCTTATTTATGATGATTGTGTTCCATTGGATAGGTGTTTTTGGGACACAGTGGAGGTCTTGACACCGATGGCAACGAGCTACCTCGTCTCGTTTATGTTTCTCGTGAGAAACGTCCAGGCTTCCAGCATCACAAGAAAGCTGGTGCAATGAATGCTTTGGTACGTAACCTTTGGAAAACTGCTTTTAATCTCAGTCCTAATCGCAACTGTTTTGTGCTCGATTGTTTATCAATGCAACCCTTTTTGGTGTTATAGATTAGGGTTTCGGCTGTGTTGACGAATGGTGCGTATCTTCTGAATGTCGATTGTGATCACTACTTCAATAACAGCAAAGCTCTTAAAGAAGCCATGTGTTTCATGATGGATCCTGCTTACGGGAAGAAGACATGTTATGTTCAATTCCCGCAAAGATTCGATGGCATTGATTTGCATGATCGATATGCCAATCGCAATATTGTCTTCTTCGATGTACGTTCCCTGCCATTCTTAATCATTTACTACACTAAAACACTCTAGTTCCATAACTTTTGTAACAATCCGTCTCAGAATGGATAGAAAATTAGATTTTTGAACTCCGTATAATCTCAAAGTTGTGAGCTACCTATCACTTCCACCATGGTTTTAAGTTGATTTCGAGGTAATTGAGTCAGCTTGTTGCATTGGGCTATGGCGCGTTACAATTTTCAGATTTAGGACTTATGGGTCAGGTTCAGGGGAAACTGACGAACAACCACTCATGTGGACAGTATGCACATGTGCATAAAAGTGATTTGTAAGCAATTTGTCTGGTATGCACATGTGCATAACATGCACACATGCATAAGAACCAAAAAACAGCTTCAATTACTTGTATACATACGTACATACCGTCCAAATGAATAGTTACCTGGGTTTTCCTCAGTTTTTCATTTTTTGGGGTTTTCTCCCGAACCTCCCTCTAGGACTTGTATTGTCTTTTTCACATCATTTTAATTCGTTTGTACAGATCAACTTGAAAGGGCTGGATGGCATTCAGGGACCGGTTTACGTGGGAACGGGTTGTTGTTTCAACCGACAAGCTCTTTACGGGTATGATCCTGTTTTAACGGAGGCCGATTTGGAGCCAAACATCATTGTGAAGAGCTGTTGTGGTTCACGAAAGAAGGAAAGAAACAGCAACAAGAAGTATATCGATAAAAAAAGAGCAATGAAAAGAACGGAATCAACGACTCCCATTTTCAATATGGAAGATATCGAAGATGGCATTGAAGGTCTGACCTTTACATTCGATGTTTTAATTTTGCGAGTCCGATTGATGTTGACTAAACCCTGAACCCTAATCCCTGAATTCTTTGTTTTGTTTTGAAGGATACGATGAGGATAGATCGTTACTTATGTCTCAAAAGAGCTTAGAGAAGCGGTTTGGTCAATCTCCAGTGTTCGTTGCTGCAACGTTTATGGAGATGGGCGGCATTCCGCCCACCACGAATCCTGCTACCCTTCTGAAGGAGGCGATACACGTGATTAGCTGCGGTTACGAGGACAAAACCGAGTGGGGCAAAGAGGTAATTTCACACTCTTGTTGCAGCTTCTATTTTGCATCCTTACGTAGAAGGCTTACACATGTGTGCAATTTTTGGTTTTCGAAAAAAAGAACATAAATAAAAAAAGAATCCTTATGCATATGTGTAATGGTTTTGTGTAAGGATTCCACTTTCTACTTAAGAATTCCACTCTCTTTTTATCTTCTTATTACCGAAAATCAATCCTTACGCATATGCGTAAGCGTTCTACGTAAAGATTGGTTAAAAAGTGAAATTGGGTCAGAAAATGGCTAAAAAATAAAACCCTATTTGTGGACCGACTATTTCTTTTGATTTCTCTAATTTTTATGCCTACAAATCTGCTGTCAAAATGTTTTCACTTCCCTTTTATGGTCTTATACATCAAAATGACTGTTTTGACCATTCTAAACGTGGTCAAAATGACTAATTTACCCTCTAGCGTCTGATATCAATTTGGAAACTTGTTCTACTTTGCAATAATCTTGTTCTTCTTGTTTCTTTCCAATCAGATTGGATGGATTTATGGGTCGGTGACAGAAGACATTTTGACGGGATTCAAGATGCACACAAGGGGATGGATCTCGATATACTGCATGCCTCCACGTCCGGCGTTCAAGGGTTCTGCTCCGATCAATCTTTCCGATCGTCTGAACCAAGTTCTCCGGTGGGCTTTAGGTTCAATCGAGATCTTATTGAGCAGGCATTGCCCCATTTGGTATGGGTATAATGGTAAATTGAAACTCTTGGAAAGGCTTGCATACATAAATACCATCGTCTATCCTCTCACTTCCATCCCGCTGCTTGCTTACTGTGTACTTCCGGCTGTCTGCCTTCTCACCGGAAAATTCATCATTCCCGAGGTATGTCAATTTTGACTTTTAAGGTCAAACATACGTATTTTAAACTTCAAGATTGACGAATTTTTTGACGCTCAACATAAAAATTAAAGGGTGGATTTAAGTGCATAACACGCACTGTGTTTAAAAAATTGATGGTCTGAATTTGATGGACTAATTATGTCGTATTTATAATTTAAAAGTTGCAGAATTTTGACCTCAAAAGTCCAAATTTATTTATATTCGTTAATTCTTCCTGTGTGATTTCTTGCAGATAAGCAACTTTGCTAGTATGTGGTTTATTCTTCTCTTTATCTCCATTTTTGCCACCGGAATCTTGGAGCTCCGGTGGAGTGGCGTAAGCATCGAAGACTGGTGGAGAAACGAACAGTTTTGGGTCATCGGTGGCACTTCGGCTCATCTCTTCGCCGTCTTCCAAGGTCTTCTCAAAGTCCTCGCCGGAATTGACACCAATTTCACCGTCACATCGAAGGCCAACGACGAAGATGGCGACTTTGCCGAACTCTACATTTTCAAATGGACTGCCCTCCTCATCCCGCCCACCACCGTTCTCATCGTAAACTTAGTCGGCATTGTCTCTGGTGTTTCGTCGGCAATCAACAGCGGCTACCAGTCGTGGGGACCCTTATTCGGGAAACTGTTTTTTGCTATTTGGGTCATTGTTCATTTATACCCGTTTCTCAAAGGTTTGTTGGGTCGCCAAAACCGAACCCCGACTATCGTCATCGTGTGGTCGATTTTGCTTGCTTCGATTTTCTCCCTTTTGTGGGTCCGCATCGACCCCTTTACGACAGACGACAAGCTTGATGCCATTAGAGGTCAATGTGGGATCGATTGTTAAGTATATAAATGTGAAAAAGTTTTCCGAGTTTGATATTATGTAATGGATATGATCTAGTTATTCGATTTATCGTCTTTATCTCTCGTGAAGGGAATGAAATCTTAAACCGAACTAAGATTTTGTTTGAGACTCGGGTCTCAATCGTCTTCGAGTGGATTTAAAATAGTAGGCATGGGCAAATGAAACCAATTGGGCTCTTAACGGACCGAATAAAGTAACCAGTTGGGCTTTTGACCGGTTCTTGATGGCCCGATCACGGTGATCGAAAAATGTAACCAAATAAGTCAGTTCAGGTCAACCGACCAGTTGGGTTAACCTGTACATCAGGTTAACCGTGTATTGGTTGGGTTAATTTAATTTCTAGCGTTTCTTTATTATATATAAATATGATAAGAATACATGATTTGTTCTACAATTTATTATTCTATAGATTGTGTTACAGCAGTTGTTTGCTATCTTGTTGATATGCTATAATAAACCCGAGCAAATTTCATAAGCGACGCTTTTCTAACCGTCAAAACCCCAAATACAACATGGATCCTCATGTCAAATCCTGTAACAAAAATACGAACAAGTAGAAGATAGTTAAATAAATGAAATAACAGATCTAACGAAGAAATATATAATTTTACTTACTGGACATATTCAATGTTTATTTTTCCCTTTTGAGATTTGGAGATGGCGGAGAAGGCGTCGCTCGATAAGACAATAGTCGAAGGGCAGGGTCTTTTGGAGCAAAAATCGATCACCTTAACATCAATGGTGCCACCAATGCACGGTTTATTATTTCCGCTAAGACATTTCAATCTGTAACGCCTACCGCATGCTGCCCCGTTATCCCACAGTCCTTCACTTACTGATGCGAATAAGTTTCCAGACGGAAATTGATCTGCTCGGTTGCCATTGCACTTCGTAGCTACGTATTCGAATACAAAAAAAAACATTATAATTTGGTGTATATATAAAAATGCATAAATTGAAGTATGAACTTACGTGTATAAGGAGGTTGATAGGATGAGGCAGTGCCAATATCAGCCAAGCCATACTTGATGTTATTGAAGCCTAACATAAGAAATAAGCACACAGTCACAACCATTCCCATTCCCATTCCCATTCCCATTTCTACACTACACTCTATCTCTTTCAACGATATTGCGTTAAGATGCACCCCATGATGTTAATTTATACCCTCTCCATCTCCACATCTCTCTCTCTCTCTCTATATATATATATATACATATATAGATTTGAGATCGACAAGACTGTTTTCGTGAGACACGTGAGACAATTTTTTTATACTTGAAATTTCACAGCAAAACGTTATGAAGGTAACCTTCATAGTGTTTTTGTTGTGAAGGTTCATGTTTTCTTTACCTTTACAATATTTTACTGTAAAGTTTCAAGTGTAAAAATTGTGTCTCATAAAAACAGTCTGGTCTCGTGTGAACTCAACAATATATGTATATATAGAGAGATAATGCCACATGTGTTTTAATAGGATTTTGTAAATTAGAATAAGAAATGAAGATCAAAGTGGATAAAGGATAAAAATGGTATTTCATCCACCTTTGCATGAAACCTCTTCTCTATAGGTTTGAACCATTAAAGTATAAAGTTCTTGATATCTACCACTAATTAGTTTATCATATCAAGGTTTAAACGATAACCGTCAACACAAGAATACAAAATTAGTAAAATTATATCTGATTTTAGATAAATTTTTTCATTTTGAATAGTTTAATCTCTAAACTATTTGTTTGAATAAAAAAAATCATAAATCTTCTTATTTTAAATGATCAAATCTCTGAACTATTATTTTGAATGAAAAAACCATTAAATTTTTTTATTTTGATTGATTAAGTTTTTGAATATATTTTTAATAAATAAAGCATCGCACTTTTAAAAATCGGTTACATGTATCATTGTAATCCAAAAAAAGCTACATTAACCGATTAGTAAAGTTCAATGGTTTATTTATTTATTTTAAAAAATTCAGGATCTTTATCATTGAAATGTGAAAATTTAATGGTTTTTTCGGTCAGAAAAATAATCCGGGGAGTTAATCATTCAAAATGAGAAAGTTTAATGGTTTTTCATCTAAAAATAATAATTCAAAGACTTAATTATTTAAAATGAGAAAGTTTAATGATTTTTTCATTCAAAATATTAGTTTAGAGACTGAACTATTCAAAATGAAAATGTTTGTTGGATTTTTTGGAGTTTTTCTTTGATTTTACATTGAAAATTTGAAATCACATGTGTTTTACAGAATACAGTCAATGCAAGGGTGTGGAGACAACTGGACTTGTGACCTCTCGCGGTCAAAGTGGTGGGAATATTCTTTTATTTAAATGTTGTTTTTATTTAAACCATCTCTCTATGTATAATTTATTTTCAAAATACTTAAAAGTTTTTATTTTAAACATGTCTTAAATCTCAATACGAAAATTAGTCAACTTTGACAATAGCTTATTTTGACGGCTTTTTAAACCACTTGCACGCCCCTTCCTTAAACTAGTGTCAGTTTGAAAAACACATACATTTTATTTATAAAAAAACGTGATCTTTTGTCCATTTTATTAAAGACACAGTAACAAACCTACATACAAGTATACGATGACACATGTCACTGTTTCATGATTCATAATGAAAAAAAAAATACATTTCTAAATAATATCACCGTATTATTTAGTCCATTGCCTTAAATTTGGTAAACCAAACAATTGAATGTAGCATATCTCGATCCGTTGGCGTATACGTCGGCCAAACCAACCAACCAACCCACCAAAGTGGCTGCCCATAACCACCACTAAGCCAATGGTTCTAAAAGGAAAGGAGAACTTATATTTGAACACGTTTCCTTAAAAAGGTATTATTACCTTCATTGGGTTGAATATGTAATTGTTGATTCTCCCATTACAAATTAGTCAAAATTACAGTTTAAATTCATCAATAAGACTCTATCTCAAGTTTACTTGTTGACTCGCGTGATTTGAAAATTTTCCGAACCATCATTTGTAGTTCAATGAATTAAAGAAGAGTCATGTCCAAACTACAAACAACCCTAAATTAAATATTCATATTTTTATGGAAAAACAATTCAAAATTGATTTTCAAGTATATGTTTAATGGATAATTTTATTTGTTTTTCCATGTTAAAGTGTTATAAGGATACAAATAGGATTCAAATAAAGGGTTTTAGCTTTCAATAACCAATCAGTTTATCTATACTGTATTATAAAACATTTGACAAAAACTCTTAAAAACTATTTTTTATTCATGAAGTACTGTATATTGATGCATATTACTTAAATTCAAGATTACAAGTAAATTATGCATATATAAGTACAACTTATTAAAACTTCATGTTTGAATTCGTGTAACTAACTGCGGATAAACATAATCAAATAGAGGATAAACATCTCATTTTAAAATATAAAAAATCTAAAATATAATTAGGATAATCATTGAGTTCTAATAGAATCAATATCTTTATAAAAATTATATTGTTAATCTAAAATAAATTACTTCACTATTAAATCTAAATTAAATTGTAATAAAAATAGAATTAAAGAAATTGTAAAAAAAAACAAGAACTTTTAAAAATTTAATTTGATATTAATATCAATATACTTTTTCAAATTTTTATGATATCTTCAAATTTATTTTTATTTAAAAGTAAAAACATCATCTTTCTCAATTGAGACAAAATAAAACGAAACATTAAAATGAATATGTATCTCGTTGCATTGCACGAGTACATTTATAGTAAAATTATAAAACATGAGGTATAAACTGACACTATGCATTTTAAGATTTCATACCTTTTTTGGTAAAAATTGAAGTTCTATTCAATTATAGGCATCATGATCTAAAAGCGAAACAAAATTTAGGGGTAAAACTGCCTCCCCCTCACAACAACCTAAGTAATACACGTTTCGCACAGTATATAACAAGCTACTGTGTTTTTACATCGTTTGAACAATCAACCCAAGAGATGAAGACATATTCCTGCTACTCCATTTGAGATGCATATGTGAACTCATATGAATAATCTGTAACATCAGTTTACATATGCATATTTAAATAGATTTTTTTCGAATTTCCAGTTATTCACATATAAACCTTCCTTCTTACCTTCTCATATTATTTAGTTTTCTTATTTAAACCGACCACTATATCTTTAACTAAACTAATAAACAACTAATGTAATATTAAAATCACATATAGATCTCCTAAGACCAAAAAACAAGAGTTTTTTTTTTTTTTTTTGAAGTATATAATATTTATATACGGCAAATGCAACAAATAAACTCACACACCCTTCTCACCTATGGTGAGGTTTTAACCCCTGACCTCCTAGAAGGCCAAGGGCTACGATACCGCTAGACCAAAGTCCCTTTGGTAAAAAAAAAAAAAAACAACAACGACATGAGTTTTCATACAGTATTTTAATAAAATGTGATCAGCTTGAAGTTGGTGGAAGGATGATATTGAAGTCTTTAAAAAGTGGTTATTCGTGGTGATCCTACATTTTGTTTAATGTTATTGTTTCAAAATAAATATGATATCTTCTTTCCAATAAAGTTTTATATCAATATCATTTATATGTTTTTAAATACTCATACATGATCTATGCTTTTTGTTCATTAAATCAGCTAAAAGTATCTTTTTAATAACTAAAGTGATAAATCTTGGCACCAAAAAGAAGATAAATAAAAGTATGCTTTTTGTGAAGTTGGTGTACACCTCCTTTGCAAATCCTGTTATATTATTCTCCAAAAAAAACCCAAACAGGCATAAATTGTCCCAGAATGTCGAGTCTTTAGAATGATAGATCTTGTCTTTGATACCATCTGAGAATATATGAAACCATGTTGGATTACTCTCCAAAAGAACCCTAGATAGCCACAGATTGTTCAAGAGTGTTGAGTCTTTGGAATGGTAGACTTGGTTCTGGTACCATTTGAGAATATATGAAACTAAGAACCCTAGACGGGAATAGATTGTTCAAGAGTGTTGAGTCTTTAGGTGGTAGAGTTGGCTCTGATACCATGTAAGAATATATGAAACTCTGTTGGATTACACTTTAAAAGTCCCTTTTGTACAGGAGGAGGTTCCAACATATATATACACACACATTATCAAGTCTAGCCGACATGGAACTCCAACAGGTTTTTCGAGCCTTTTCAGACATGACATTGTTTTATAGACACTTCAAGACTCATGAAAGATGCAGGTCCTGCAGAACCCAGTTCTTGAATCAAGCATCATTCTTCTCCATTTAGCTTTAAAATCTAGTGGCTTGTGCCATCTAGCTAACTTAATTGCTTGTGGGAAATCCTCGAGAAGTTTGAGCAAAAAGTGCACAAAAAAAGGAAAGTATTTGATGGATGGCTAACACCCCCCACAATCTTTCACTTACCATCTCACCAATAGTCACCACACGAGCAAATGCCATTCTTGAAATGATGAAAGCGATTTGTATCCCGAAGTATGATTTCGCGTTCAACGATTATGGAGATGAGCTTAGCAGCTATATGACAATCCTCACAAACACGCAGATTCTTGGTGATTCTAATAAGCGTAAAAGGTTTCGTGTTTATAATCACAAACACAATAGCCAGCTTCTCACTATGAACTGCAAGATGGTTTCCTTTATCTTCCTCCTCTATATCATGAAGTGCAGAATCCGTCTCGGCTACATACCCCAACTCTCTCATTTTCCCCACAATTACATCTAATTCTTGATAAATCTCTTTAGATTGTGGATGGGATTGATCACCAGCAAGAAAGGAGTGAACTTGATTATTAAGCTCAACATTACTAACACCTGGGACCTTCTTGACCCCTCTGGCTTTCATAATTGAACGAATATTCGTCACATCTTTCCATCTACCGGCTTTTGCATATATATTCGACAACAATACGTAATACCCAGCTTGCTCAGGGACCAATTGTAAGAGATGATCTGCTGCAATAAGCCCAATATCCATGTTAGAGTGAACCTTACAAGCACTCAACAAAGCCCCCCAAATTCTATCATTTGGGTTCGTTTTCATCCTCCTAATAAAGTCATAAGCTTCATCGATTCTCCCAGACCGCCCTAGTAAATCAACCATACAAGCCAAGTGTTCAAGCCTCGGAACAATTTTATATTCCTCCGTCATCAATTTGAAGAATTGTTTCCCCTGATTTAACAATCCAGCATGGCTGCAGGCTGATAGGACCGGAACAAAGGAAATGGAATCAGGGATCAGACCTGAGTCCTGCATTTCTGAAAACACCCGTATAGCAGTTTGACCGTCTCCGGTCATGCCATAAGCAGAGACCATAGAAGTCCATGACACAATATCTCGGGTCCCCATTTTATCGAACACCTTTCTTGCCTCATTTAAAGATCCACATTTGGCATACATATCAATCAAGGCATTCTCTAGTATTAGATTAGGAAGAAGCCTCTTCCTTTGTACATATTCATGAATCTTTCTCCCTAGCAATAAAGCTGAAAGATCCCCACAAGCAGGTAGAACACTAGCAACTGTAACGGAATCTGGGGAAATTCCATAGGTCTCCATTTGCAAATAAAGATCAACTGCATCTGTGGGCAACGAATTGTGAACATACACAGCCATCATCACATTCCAAGAAACTAAACTCTCTCGAGCATGGTTCATGAACATTTCCTTCATAAACATAACGTTGTTAGGAGATGTTGAACTTGTTACAGCAGGAGAAAGGCTAGCCATCGTGCCTGCATTCGGTTTTAAGCTAGAGGATTTTATCATTGTCCTACAAACCTCCAGAGCAAGATCGAAAATCCCATTTTGAGCGTATGCAGCAACCATAGCATTCCATGAGACAGCATCTCTACTAGGCATTTCATCAAACACCTTGCGACCTTCCAGTAACCTATTACATTTCCCATACATTGTAATCAATCCATTCCCTACATAAAGATTTGAATGCAGACCCTTCTTAAAAACAGCAACATGGGTTTGTAATCCGACCCATAAATTCTCAGACCCGGAACATGCTTTTAAAACTTGAGGAACTGTGAAATGATCAGGGTTAATGTTGAACTTGAACATATTTCTGTACATATGAAGTGCTCTATCGTAGAATACATTGTTTACGTAGCTTCTAATCATGACATTGAAAAAGACAACATCTTTTTGAGGAAATTCATCAAACAGTTGGCGGGTGACAGCGATTTGGCGACACTCAGAATAAGCTTTCATTAGTTTCAGAGCAATATGCGAAGCCGAGAGGAGATTTCCATCGATAATTAACCTACAGTGTATCCTTTTCAATTGTTTGATATCTGGGCACTTATCCAAGATTTTGACACAAAAGTCTTCTGTGATCAACATGATCGTTAATCGAGATTTGAATAAATTTGAGTTTACATTCCTTTCTCTATGAAACAATCGGAAAACTTGCATTTCGGAACCTTTCTCCCATATTTACGATGTGTTGTCGGGAAAAAAAGTGAGGAAAATTAAAAACTATCTAGAGGGATATTTGGGATTAGTTATTTAAAATATTTATTAGCTTATTTTAATTTGATACCGATAATAATTTTTTTTTTCTTTTTAGTGATTTCTACCAAAACTTTCAAGGTGCTTGCTTTGATCGAGTTTTCTACCAAAACTTTCTTCTTCTTCCCATGGAAAGAAAGATATTAAATATTTAAAAAATATATTAAAACTATAAAACTATCCAATAATCCATTCTAAAAGATATATTTATAAAAGGTATATCGTTAAAAATGATATATTTCTTTTTTTTTCTCACCTTTTCAAGAAAATATGAAAAATCATGTCCTTTCTTTTCTTTTCCTCACCTTTTAAAAACACAAATAAAAAAATTATTTCCTTTAGTTCGGAGTAAAAATTACGTTTTTAGTCCCTATGGTTTGTTGAAAATTGTTATTTTCGTTCTTATAAAATTACAATTTTTTTTTCTCTCTATAGTTTACAATACATTGTTATTTTTATTCTTATGATTTACAACTTATTGTCGTTTCCATTCTTATGGTTTACAACCCGTTGTTTTCATCCCTCATATCTAGGGTATAATTGAAAGAAAGTGGTAAAAAAATTGCAGGAGCCTAAAAACATGGCCTTAAAGGTAAGACTGTAAGATTAGTTTCAGAGACTAAAACAATAATAAATTGTAAATTATAGAGATAAAAACTATAATTTTGAAATCATAGGAACAAAAGTCAAAGTCTTTAATAAACCACAGGGACAGAAAACATTAGTTCAATTGGGATGTGTTTGGTAGTCATATAAGAGATAACAAAAACTTGCTTTACTTTCAAGGTCGAAAATTAGATTGAGATTTGACAAGAATAAATAGATGGAACATAAATTAGAAAAATGTGATACGACTAAATAGATGGAACATAAATTAGAAAAATAAGATAAGACAGGTAAATTACTGAACTGTCTATGTCAAATTAAAACCTTAAAACCTTTCGTTATTATTTCACTTGCCTAATTCTCTCTCGTCAATCTAGTTCAATCCCATCAAACAATAAAAACTAATATATTAAAAAAAATGGCTAATGTCATAATAATATTATATGAAAGGATGGATACATATGTTTGTGGTTGACCTTTGCCATGTTACACAATTGAAACTAATTTTATGCAGTAATTCCACACTTGTACAAAGAAACACAACTCTACTTGTTCTCTTCTATGTGTCTCATATCTCTTTGTTAGGCTTGATCAGTAATCCTTCCACCTCTATTTCTTTACCTGTCATCATCATCATCATCTTGGAATAATGCCTTAGAAACAGAACTACAACCCTTACTCCCTTCACCTTTAACTGTCAATGGAGTCTCACACACCACACTATAACTAACCCTCCGATGCTTCTTCCTTTTCGGTTCTTTAACAAAAGACGGGGGTTTGATCTTTGAATGCTTTGGAGCCCAGACCCTCTGCAAATCTGGCATTCGGCTTGTGAAAGATACAAACCTTCTCGCCCTTTCTCTCCTCTCGCGAGCCTCATTCAACTTTTGGGCATGATCCTCTTTCGTGTGTTCTTCCTCACTCTTGTTGATGTTTTCAAATTCATCTTCTGCAGAGGATGAATCTTGGATCATCTTACTTGCACCCATATCGGGTTTTTCTCTCCAAGATTGATTGCTGTCCTCGCTGTTGAGCATTTGAGCCTGCGCTTCATTTTCTTCACCAAATGGCAATAAGTCCATTTGATCATAGATTTTGTCCACCACATCTCCAAGCTTATGCGAATACCTGAAAATTGAGTCTTTTATGTTTCAACTAAATCTTAACTGTAATAAAGATAATATTCACATTATTAAGCTTATCAACAAAGGCTCTTCATGTTGATATTGGCCAGATTCATGTTGAAACCAACCCACAAAGTTTGTAATAATTCAGTAAATTTTTGTTTAGTTAACAGTTGAAGATAACAGTCATTCTGTCATGTGCTCTTGTGGTGCTGTTTTTTTTCTTCTTTATTAATGCATTCTTCATGCATATAATTCAAGACACCCATGGATATAAGTTGAAGTTGCAGGTTTGAGACTATTGGTTCAATCACATCATTTGGTGGCAACTTATGTAGGCATATCTAACCCACTGCAAGCAAGAACAGAAGTAAAATGCCATTTCTTTGTGCCATTTCCTTTTGTGGGTTTATCTTTATTTCTACTCGCATCACAGAAATAACACCCATGATATGAAGTACTAAATGAAGCAAAACTAGATATAAAAATTGTGCAGATTAACATATAGATATAGGTACCTCAATTTTATAGTTCTCTCAACATAATCATAAAGACTCGTATCACCATGAAAGCCTCCTTCCACAAGGTACTGAATGATCTCCAAAAGGGAGCATATCTGTTTCACAAGTTTCACCTTCATAGAACTCTGGATGCTCGCTGCAAGTTCCGACTGAAGTATCTCCATCCGGAGCAAAATTTGTAACTCATATCTTTTAGCTTATTAAGAAAAAGATCAGAGTAAATAAAGCGATCGTATTTAAGTTAAATAATGGGAACTTTGAGTGGAAACTGGAGGAGGGAACTAGAGCAAAACAAACAAAACAAGAAAAGGATACTCTCGGACTAGATATTCTGAACTAGAACCATGATTCAGTGATTGGAGTGATGAGTTACTATCCTTGTGTTGCTTCAAATCTTTCGGCTCACGTAGTAATAACTTTATGACTTCAGAAACTCGAATCGTACAAGATTCGTCATGATTTTCCGTGCCATCATGCTTTTGATGTAACCAATAAATGGAGGAGTCTACAAGTTTCCCTGCCAAGATCTTCAAGTCCACTCCATCAGATTCAAGCCCCTGGTGAATTTTCGTAGGCAGGTTACTGAAAAATGATTCTGATGTTTCTGAACTTGATAAAGAAGTGGCATCCTCCTGCATTCTTGACTGATCAGAAGAAATATGCATTGACAGAGGTTTATCGCATTCTTGGTAGCTTGCAGCCAAATTTTCATTTACATTCGTCTCTTTTTGCTTATTTGAATCTGGAGCCGCTTGGCTTGATCCATCTGGTATGCTATTGTAAAGTAAGCCCTTGTTTTTCACTTCCTTCATCCAGCATTTCAGAAACTTCAACTTCTTCGACTTTTTAAAGCCATTGGCAAAGTAAACCTCTGCCAAGTCCAAATCCAAAGACTCATATGCCCCCTTGCAGAATGAGCTCCATGTGAGGTCCCGAAAGGTATGCTTTTTTACCTTTCTTCTCTTTCCATCATCTACATGAACAGATTTTCCCGAGGGGGAAGTACCCTTTTGAGAATCACTCTCACCTTGAGAAAATACATTCTCTATCATGGAAAGATTTGCTCCACCAGCATCTTGAACGAGCAAATGGTTATTATCTAAGAGCGAGAGGACAGCTGAATGAACTGTGAACGGCTTGAGAATGCCCATGTAAGAATCCCCATTGCCATTTGATAAAGATAACAAAGCCCAGTAACCCTCCCTGTATAGAAAACCAAGAAAAATCTGCCAAGTTGGAACCATATGCTTGTGAAATAACTTGGAATTTTCACCAGCAAGTAGTTCAAGAACCCTATCAGCAAACAAATTGTCTGAACCATCCTTCTCCTTTTTGCCAGATTCTGTTGATCGAACTAGGAATTGATCTGATGAAAATTCTTCAAAATTATCACACTTGGTGTACCTCCGAACAGCTGTGACATGTAACTTCATAACTCCATCATTTAGATTACCCAAAAATGTATTCACAAGATTGACAGCTTGAGCATTTGAGCTCCCAACTTCCCAGGTTCTAATAATGTCACCGGATCTAGACTTAGATGACACCTTCAGATGCAGCAATTCAAGATCACAGCATTTACACTCCAAAGGCTTACCATGGACATCTGAAATTTGAAGGTTCAATTGCCCACGAATCCTCTTGTCTAATCTTTGAGAATATAGCAACTTAGATGAGACAACAATATTTGGATATATCAACCCAAAAGAAAGAAGGGCAGAACCTAGAACAATTAAATCCGTCGAACAAAATCCCCAACCAAATTTCCTAATCTCATTCCCAACAAGAGCAAACTGCTGTTCAGATTCATTGCTTTCAACTTTTTCTTCATGGCTATGAATGTCAACCCAACATAAATGAATATCCTTACCACTAAAAGCATCATTAACAGCAGTAAAACAATCACGAAATCTAGCACCACAAGCATCTAAATCCCTCAGACAATCATCATTTACATCAACACACATAAATTCAGCTAAAGATTTCAACGATCTACAAACCGGAGACAACAAAATAATCAAATTCGAGCGAATACACATAAGATCATGTTGAGGTTTACCTGAAACATTCTCAATTTCCGACTCCCAGTCATAATCGTGAGCTAGCTGAAGCAAAGAGCTGACTGTGTGTGAAGCATTTGAAGATGAATACGTCAATTGGGTAAAAGAGATGGAATTAAGGGTCTGTGAGATAGAATCTAGGGTTTCGGAAGGAGAATTGAAGGAGAGGGAAGTGGAAAGATGATTGGGGAGCAGACGGTAGAGTGTAGATGCGGAACGGAGAGGGGATAGAGAAGAGAAGAAGAGTTTGAAGGAGAAAAGAGAAGATGAAAGAGAAGGGAAAGCTAAAAGAATCTTCGATGTAGCAAGAATGGAGGTTATGTAATTAGGGTTAGGGTTTTGGGATTGGAGTAATGGGTTGAGGTCAATGAGGAGAACTATCCGCTGTGTTTTTGAGAAATCAATGGCGTCCGCCATTGATTTAGTTCAAGCTTTTCACAGTTTCACAGATTTGGGGGTATTTTTTAAAGAAGGCAGATGCCTGTCGAAGATCCAACATGCTAACTTCCGCCGTACCGAAGGTGGAAAAAGAATGACCAAGACAGCATTGGGCGGGAACGTAGAAATGGCGGTAGAATTTCAAAAGCCAGGAAATATATTTTCATTTCACACCCCTAAAGTTTATGATTTATAATACGAAACTCGCCTCCATTTAAATTATTATTTTTTTAAATTCAATATAATTATTGCATTTACAAAACCAATTATAAAACTACTAATATGTGTATTAGATGATATTTTATTTTAGTGATGTCTCATTTATTTATTTTTATGGAAGTTGTTATTCTTCCTTCAGGTCTATATTGATGACCATGATTTCAACCATTTTTACTGGTTAAACTAATAAATGCATTTCTCACCCTCCAAAATCGTTGTCAACAAAAGAGCAGCAGAACAGCAATGCTTATCCCTCCTCCAAACCTGCACTACCCTCCTTAATCTCAACCAAATTCACGCACAAATTCTCAAATTGGGTCTCCATGACAACCCACTGGTACTCACAAAGTTCACTTCGACATCATCCGATCTCAATGCCATTGACTACGCTTCATTCATCTTATTCGCCCCGGATGCCAAAACCCATCTCTATGACACTTTTCTTTACAACACCGTCATCAGAGCTTACGCGCAAACCAATCAGTCCAGGATTACTGCTGTTGATGTTTACAAAACCATGGCTTGGAATGATGTTATGCCTAATAAATTCACATACCCATTTGTCCTTAAGGCCTGTGCTGGTGTTGGGAGGCTGCGTTTAGGGGAGTCGTTTCATGGTAGTGTTGTGAAGTTTGGGTTTGAGAATGATATACATGTGTTGAATACCATGGTTCACATGTATTGTTGTTGTGGTGCGATCGAGAATGCACGTGTTGTGTTTGATGAAATGCCTAAGTGGGATTCTGTATCTTGGAGTGCAATGATTGGTGGGTATGCTAGGATCGGAATGTCAACTAGTGCTGTTGAGTTGTTTAGAGACATGCAGATTGCTAGGGTTAAACCAGATGAGATTACTATGGTTTCGGTACTGTCTGCTTGTAGTGATTTAGGTGCTTTAGAGCTTGGGAAGTGGGTCGAAAATTACATCGAAAGAGAAAAAATTCCAAAAAGCATGGAGCTTTGTAATGCCCTCATTGATATGTTTGCAAAATGTGGGGATGTGGATAAGGCTTTGAGGTTGTTTAGAAGTTTGGATGGGAAAACCATTGTTTCTTGGACTTCTGTGATTGTTGGTATGGCAATGCACGGCCGTGGTTTGGAGGCTGCTTCGTTGTTTGAGAAGATGAAAGATGATGGGGTGGCACCAGATGATGTTACGTTTATTGGATTACTTTCGGCTTGCAGTCATTCAGGGTTAGTCGATGAAGGTCGCAGATACTTTGATTCCATGACTCAAGAATTTCATATAACACCTAAGATTGAGCATTATGGTTGCATGGTTGATCTATTCAGCAGGGCTGGACATGTGAAAGAGGCACTAGAGTTTGTCAAGAAAATGCCCATTGAGCCAAATCCAATAATCTGGAGGACATTAACCGCTGCTTGTCGACTCCATGGTGAGCTTAATCTTGGCGAAAGCATCACAAAACAGTTGATTGAAAATGAGCCGTTGCATGAATCTAATTACGTCTTACTTTCCAACATTTATGGGAAAATGTCCCATTGGGAAAAGAAAAACACGATTAGAGAGGTGATGGGCGAGAAGGGGATGAGAAAGATCCCAGGGAGTACCATGATTGAACTCGACAACAAAATCTACGAATTTGTTGCAGGTGATAGAACGCATGATCTATACAAAGAGATCCATGAGATGATTGATGAGATGGGAAGAAAGATTAAGATGGCCGGATACGTTCCTACTACATCAGAAGTGTTACTTGATATTGGTCAAGAGGACAAGGAAGATGCTCTGAATAGACATAGTGAAAAACTTGCCATTGCCTTTGCCCTTTTAAAGACACCACCTGGGACTCCCATCAGGATTGTGAAAAACTTACGGGTTTGTGGTGATTGTCATTCTGCAACAAAGTTCATCTCCAAAATCTATAGTCGAGAGATATTAGTAAGGGATAGAAACAGATTTCATCACTTCAAAGATGGGGTATGCTCATGCAAAGACTTCTGGTGAAAGTTGATGTAATTCAGCAAGGTACAAACCAGCAGCTGGAGAAGGAGAAATCTGAAAAGGTACATTTCGAAAACTTTACCAAATGCATAAAAATATTAGAATGATTCCGGTGCATATATGCCTTACTGTATATATTTATTTTCAAGCATTTCATTTGGGGCCAAAGGATTTATTTATGCAAATCAACAGAACACAGAAACAGATATGTGTAAACAATAATCTCGAAATATCCTTCATTTCAGGGATGAGTTTGTTGATGAAAGCAACAACAAAAACAACTAGAATTTGGTTTCCATAAGATCCATGATATTAGATGCCAGGATGATTACAAGCTTTGGTAAGAACCAATGTCACTGTTCCCTTCAATGGAAATTAAAGGTGGGATGCTCTGCTCAAAATAGAAGAAATTATCTGGATCAACTGCACCCTTCACCGTTGCCAACCTCTTGAAATTGTCATTAAAATAGCTGCTTCCCCATTTCGTGGCTCCTAAGTAGCTTGTGTTATCTATATCACCATTTGTACCTATATCCAAATCCCTGTAATTCACATAAGCTGCCCTTGGATTCTTGGACGCATATGGTGTCATATTCTTATAGATCCTTCGCATCCAATTTATATGCTTTTCTGATGCTTCAACGGTTCCGTTATCCCACTTCTCAAAGTATTGTATGTTATACAAATACCCTTTTCTATGTGGGTATGGAGTTGTCGTTTCCTCTATCTCGTCCATTCTTCAACCGTGTGGTTCCATTATAAGAATCGGATTGTCTTCCTCCAAACAACATTTCCATATTTCTTCCAATGTTTCTTCAGGGATAGGTTCTTTCACATAATCTGATTTACCATTGAAGTAGCTTCTGGGCTGGGGTATCCTATCTCTAAGGACGTCGATGCTTGATCCTGTTAGATAGATTGAAAAATAGAGTATTGATTCAATCCAACTCATCTCATTACAGTCTGTTTCCTGTAAACCCAGTTCCGGGAAGCTATCTGCTACCGTTTCCATGAGTTGGTCAATGCTTCCAAGAAACATCGAGTTGAATATAATTTGAATTGTTCTGTTTCCTGCCCCATCTGAAGTAGGATGTATTAGAACTCTAATGAACAAATCTTCACTTAATTTGTGCCCTTTATACTGCCACTTATTGAACAGATCCGAAGCTCCTTGATCTAAAGTCTTGGAAAGAC